AGAAATGTTTCTCTGTTTTCTTCTTGTAGCTTATTATTATAAAGGCTAGTACCCTTATTTTATTTTATTTTTTATTGAGTAGTATTAATTATAAGGCCTATTCGGGCCTATAAGTATCAACATTTGTTTCTCTGCCTTTCCCTCTAAAGCTAATGTTTCCCCATTACAGTGCTGTTTATGCATATCTTCAAACCATTACATTGCAAATAGAACATTTTTTGTGTAATAATGTTCTTGCCACTGTAATTTAATATCGAGAGATTAGTTAAAACTGCGATATAACATCCATCACTCATAGATAAAGCTGGTCATTTTTCTTGTACTACTGTACGGTCCGGTATTTAGTTTCACCTAAACCGAACACCGCCCACTTGCCAGTTTTACTTAGTAATTACCGGCTCTGGTTTCACACATCCCGAGATGTCACGGCGCGTTAGCCGGACCAAATTACCAAATTACCCAGAATCCTCGAGTGTCAAGAGAGCGGAAAGCGATTGCATTAACATTAGGGCAAGTCATGGAACTTTACACCTGTACAATAGGAGCCAGTTCCCCCGTAGAGTTCCACCTGGGGGCGGCAGCGATTCAACAGGTAACCCCATTTCACCAGAATTAGTCCCCCATCAGAGGTTCCAGTTTGATAGCTTCAGTTTTCAAGATGGCTTCCAATAAGACCGCCAACTGAGCTGCTTGGAATGTCTCGTTTTCAAATGACCCTTGACCCCGAGGATCCACTGGGTAATTGACTAGCCCCGAATGGTGCATTCCTGCAGGACTTATTGGATCGACAGCGTGCTTATGAAAGGGGAAGAACTCTATTCACCCTGGCCAGGGGCCTGTATTGGTGACTGACCCCTGAATGCGAGCGTCCCCTTGTCGTGCTATGATAATAAGCGTCCACCTGAGACGGTCCTGTTTTCTTTCTTCATCGCTCTAATCAGCGGCCAGCAACAGGTAGCCACCCGTGTAGGGGCGGCCCGCTAGAGGGGCTGAAAGTGTAAGGTGGGTTACATGGACGAGTCGGGACATCGTTCTTTTTAGAAGTTGTAAAATTGTCTTTAGAACAGCTCACAAACTTTTTCATCTTGCTTGCGATAAAATTTGTAGTAAAAAAAAATTAAATGTCATTATAAATTAATGACACCACCCCACATTAAGTTCAAATAATATCGATCCAGTCCACATAGGGTGTGTTCTATCTAAACAGTTTCTTTACTTAGAATACCACTGAAGTTCAAACAAACACGTTTAGTTATAAAACGTCATAACAATTTGTAATCAATGAATGGATTTTAAAAATTAGGTAGAGGATTCGGAATATCAAATGTGTTTTAATTTTCAATTTGCCTACAGATTTTAAGTTTAGAAAATGTGCATTCGCCTTTAAATATTACTTATTTTTACTTGTCTTATGTCATTGGTTTTAAAAATGTTAACACCGATGAAATGAGACTAGTGTATGTAATACAGAAATGAGAAAACTGTTTTGATTAGGTAGATAGTTAAACGCTCCCCAACCAAACGTCCTTTAATTTATTCTGCTCTAAAAACAGATCTCCGCCACTGCGAGTCTCCCCTTGAAATCGAAGAACCCACAATAGCTCTGTCACATTCCACTGGTCAACCGGAACAATGGTGCCCACTACCACGTGTTTGCCTATATGTCTAGCACGGATGATGGAGTGGTTTAGGGTGTCACTGGCTAGCGTCGGTATGCGCGCACATCATTTGACGGCTACTGTTCCGCGTTGCCGCGCGGTACACTGAGCCCCGAATGTTTCACTTACCGGCGGAGGCTTTGTCCCGTGCGGCCAGTAGACACCGACAAATCTTTTCATGGCGAGTCACAATCGCGTGGGGAAGCGAGCGTGACATCAGATTTAAAACATTTCAAAGATGACCTAGCCGGAGCCCTGCTAGACGTGGGTCACTGCTTTCATACGGGATACGAGGATTTATTGTCAAAGGCTATAACGGCGGAGCGGGTGGGGGGAGGGGGGAAGATCTACAAAAATAAAATTCTGACTTGCACGCTAAAAATATTTAAGTCATCTATTTGTCCTAACCTCGTATTGCTTGCCTGTCGTGTCTTTAAACTGGGATATCGGGAAGACGATTGAGTTATTCAACTAGTTTTCTACTACTTACTAAAGAGGGGGGGGGGGGTGATTTCTAAGTTTTCGGCATATTGGGGGGGGGGGGGCAGTATTTAGATACGTCCACTAGGTCTGCTGTTTGCTACTATTAGCACAGCAGACAAATTGTTTGCGTGTTATTTTGAATAAACGGAAGATCAAATACATTTTTTTTAAAAATAAGTTTTATTTTCTGTAATCCAGAAGATTGAAATACGTAATCATAAGGAGTTTTTAACACGTTTACCGATTTAAACATTTTTAAGTCTAGTCATATAGGCATAATATGCATTTTTTTTAAATTTGCAATGTAATGGTTTAAAGATATGTATAAACAGCACTGTAATGGGGACATTTTAGTTTTAGACTGAAAGGCAGAGAAATAGGCCCGAATAATTAGAATAGTTTAGACGAATCTTACATCAAAAGGACAATTGAAACAACTTTTTACTTTACAAATGTAAAATATTAAAAATCAAAATATTGCACTTATATTGTGTTATATTGAATGTGTGTATGTTTTAACATGTTGGAGAATATAAATTAGGAATGGTAAATAACCTGTCTCTATGTTTCTTTATTCCTAGTTTTGCTGCAGCTTCACAACTTTAATAACAGTGCTTTGATAAACAACTCGCAACGTTCATTGTTTCACACACAATTTATGTCTAAGAGTAGGTCGTGTTTCAAATAGATGTCAAATGTGATTTTATTTTTTTAAATGATGTGATTCCCAAACTTAATCATAAAAAAAATCCCATTTTCAAAACCCAAATGTGCGGTTGTTTTGTGGGAGTCCTACAACTTTTACTACTTTGTGTAATATGGATAGGGCTGGTGGGTGTAATTTATTGGGATGGGTGGGTTCTATTTTTGGGTTCTGTGCGCGATATCCAAGAAGTAATCTCACAAGCCAAAAGTTACAACAATTGCTATTACCGGCTTGGCATTTATTGACATCTCTAGCGTCACTGACTCATTTTCCGACTCCTTTGTTCAAACTGCTGACTCCATCGATGCCCTCCCACTGGCATCGACTGTTACGTCTGAATCATTTCCTGCTTACGTCACAGCAGACCTGCCAGCCGCACGTGACTAATGAGGCGCTATTGAAAGAGGTGGACCAGCATCTAACGCCGCCCCGGGGAGTAAGCGAGGCGTAAGTTCGAACACTTTTGTATAATGTGCCCCCTCGGGAACAACTGGCCATTAACTCCATGTGGCATGTGGTCAGTTAGGTCTAGGCTAGAAGTATTGGACCTAGGTAGACGTAAGCTACACATGGGTCAAAGGGACACTAGAGACATCATACAGTGTGTCAATGTGTAGGTCCTCTTGTATTGTAGTTCTGTGCTACAATGGTTTTATTAATACTCCATTTTCAAACTGAGCGATATTGATGCTGAATTATTTTTTAAATACTGTATTTTAGGACCTTAATGACCAACCAATGCTGTCTTGCACAACGTTAAGTTTGTAATATTTAGTCTCAGTTATGAATATTCTATTTTGAATAGATTTTTAAAAATATATAATGACATTTATAAATTAATTATCATTTCTAAATGGCTAAAATGACAGATACAGTTTCACTAAATCCCATATGTAAATAACCTTTAGATCCATCTTTGTGTAATCCACGGTTAGGTGAATCAAACGTCGAATCGTGTAGTCATGTTTGATGGGTGATGGATAAAAGACATAGTTCACATCGAAATATTGAGTCAATTGTTGGCGTCAATAAACTGCATTAACGTGTAGTGCATGCATGACTTAAGTGACCCCCCCCCCATACCCCTCGACAACCTCTTTCAAAACGGACCAACATTTTCTGTTGGTGCTAAATTATCAATGGCAACATTTCAAAAGTCGAAATGATTAGTTTAATGAACTAGTTCCAGTCGACAGAGAAACAAAACAAAACAGGCTAGCAGGCCCAGACGTCTGGGCGTTTGAACTTTCACAACCCAAAGTTTCTCGTCAACAAACGGCGACCAGACGACAACATCGTCTGTTACCTCTCCCGCCAGACGAACCGATTTCCTCCAATATTTTCTCTCTGACACAATTCTGTTGACGTCTGTCTGTTCTGATGTTGACGTCTGTCTGTTCTGGTGTTGACGTCTGGTCAGTTGACCTGTTGATGTGTAGGTCTACCATCAAATGGTCTTAAGATAACTTGGTCGGTGAAAGCGCCGCGCAATGTAAACTCGCACTGTCCCTGTGGGGTGGGGAGGAATTTTGATTAAATTCACTCGAACCCGCGTGAATACCAGTGAAAATAAAAGGGCGTGAAATAAGCCGACGGGAGTTGGGGGTGAGGGGGTAACGGGGGGTGAGGGTGGGGGACGAGGTCGGGTAGCTGGGTGGGTGAGGGGTAAAATTGAATAGCCCGGCCCGCTAGCATAGAATCAAGTGTCGACTGCCGGGCAGACGACAATGCCGGGACATTTGTTTGGCTAGAGCTTCAGTCAGCCATTGACGCTGGCAGCCTCTATTGTCCCCAGGAATGCGTCAGGCGCTATAAAAGCCCGCTGGTGCTCGCTCTAGCCTATCACTCGCCCTGCGAACCTCGCTCAGTACACAACTCTCACTCGAGCTGTTTCGTACCCACGTCACTGGATTATACAAAACATGGAGACCACCGCTCGCTACACACGCCAAGCTGTTTGCCTGCGATGCAAAGATTGTGCATTTGTCGAGTCTGAAACCTCAGCTCAACGTTTGGATATCTCCACAAGCAGTGCGCTGAAACACAGACAGTTATCGTCTGCTGTTGTCATGTTCCTAGTGCTGCTCCTCGCCCCGATGTCAACCTCGGCGTTCAGTGTTGAAAGAACCACCACAACTGTAACCAAGACGACAACCTTCCACACCGGCTGCCCCAGACATTTTGGACACAGGGTCCAATCTTGTGTCGCACCGTTTACGTCACTTGTTGACATGTACACAGCCGAACAGGACAACATTGGTCAAGCTGTTAGCATTGCTAAACAAATTTGCATGTAAGTATTCATTACACGATTTTTAACCATAATTTTCAAAGTTCCAATTTAATGCTACTAAAAACTCATTAATTAATTTTAATAATGATAATTAAAAAAACATGTAAAACTTATGTTTCTTAAATTTCAATTGTTCCTATTTTTTATTTTCCCAGTGAATACCAAATGGTCTTGACATGCCTCCACACCGCCCTGATTGACTGCCCTACCATGAAAAACTTGAAGCGGGTTCAAGCAACCCTCGACTCACACTGGGTTACTAAAATCAATGAACTTTGCTCGATCCAATCGAAGAGTTCATCTGATGCTGCTAACAACGACTACAAAGATCTAACCAACTACATTTACCAAAACAACCATCCAAACCACGTCGACTCTTACAAAATCGCTCGTGAAATCTTACACGCCTCGATGAAAACCAAAGCAGAACTGGAGCGTGAGGTTTTAGCTGCCAAAGCCCAATCCGGGTTGTCTTCAATTTTCATCGAGAAAATCCACTACTTCCAGCCACCACAAGACAACGAAGAAGTGAAGGAAATCAAGGAACAAAACAAAGACGCTAAAGTTGAACTCAACATCGTTAACGTTATCCAGAACTACAACTACCCCACAGCACAGAAGAATGACGCCATCAAGCACAGCACAGTTCATCTGGTACACGCGGCACACAACTCGGCCACCGGCTCGTCATACGGAATCTTACTCGTCGTGTTGTCGGCAGTCGCCACTCTACGACTTCTGCTTTTATAAACATTCTTCGTGGATTACCAGTCGTATAAACAATTCAAACTATAAATAAGATTAATATATAAAATACTTCTGTATATAAAACTCTGATACGGACTAACTGGATTTTAAAAAATCAACCAGCTGAACTTCAGTTGAGCAAGTTATTTATTATGGAACAATGCTATCTTCCAGGCCTAGCCTCCTTCTGATGTGGGCTGTATGCACACATTTTATGCAAGATTATGTCACGTGGTACAGGAGTTTGCCCATCATGTTCACTGGTTAAAAATTGACTTAATGTTGCAATACCAAGTCTTTCAATTTATTGATTTTATTCTACATTTATTACAAGTTTTTATGAATAAATTATTTTGCCGAACTAAATATTTGATTTAATTTTCTTGACTAGTTCATGTGCTGTTTGCTCTATCATGGCTGTATTGTATGAATATGTATGTTGCTTGTGTTTGTATGTATGTTGCTTGTGTTTGTATGTATGTTGCTTGTGTTTGTATGATAGCCTATAGGTTAGACCTAAATCTGAACAACATTGTAGTCAAGCTAGATACAGGCTACCTCTACAAACAGGCTACATGTAGCTTACACAGTAATGATCATACATGAGGTTGCGTGCTACCTGTCTACTGAGGTTGTATTCCATAAGGCTAGCAATATGCTACCTGTCTACTGGTGTTCCATCAGGCTAGCAATATGCTACCTGTCTACTGAGGTTGTATTCCATCAGGCTAGCAATATGCTACCTGTTTAATGAGGTTGTATCCAGACAAACAGGCTAGCAATATGCTACCTGTCTTCTGAGGTTGTATTCCATCAGGCTAGCAATATGCTACCTGTCTACTGAGGTATCCAGACAAACAGGCTACTTGTTTTATTAGAAAAGTTGAAACAAACAGGTTTACCCTGCACCTAACCAATTACCCCTTAATAATTTGATCAAGCTAAAATCTATATTTAAAAAAACCACAACAGAAAATGATTCTGCATAATGTAAACCAACTTTACTACAAACAAGTTCTATACAAAATGAAAATGTTCTAGTAGGCAAGAAAATTTTGCCCACACTAAACAGAACAAGTTCTCTACAGCACAAATCCAACTAGAATGAAACCAACTTTACTACAAACAAGTTCTATACAAAAAAAACATGAACATGTTCTAGTAGTAAGCAAGAAAATTTTGTGCCCAGACTAAACAGAATAAGTTCTCTACAGCACAATCCCAACTAGAATGAAACCAACGTATTACTGAAAACAAGTTCTATACAAAAAAAAAACATGAACATGTTCTAGTAGTAAGCAAGAAAACTTTGTGCCCAGACTAAACAGAACAAGTTCTCTACAGCACAAACCCAACTAGAATGAAACCAACTTCACTAATTAACTAAACAAAGTAACCTACCATACCCAGGTAACTAATCGGGTCATGTAATGTGCTTATAACCAGGAATTAAAATCATTTTATTCATTCTTAAAAGTAAGTAAATACTGAATGATTTCTTCCATGTAAATTAAGACAACATTTATAGCCTAGGGAACAAACAATTGGCAATCACTTTTTTTTTGTTCTAGTTATAAGGGAGGTCAACTGTCATTACATTTCTAATTGGTGTAAGAAGTCCCTAATATTGTGATCAAACTCTGACATGATTCAGTATGAGCAATCAATAAATAACAGTTATGAAATTATCAACAGCCAATGACAAGCTAGAAAGAATGAGGCAAGAATCATTAGCTGTATCACTGTTGGTGTTTTCCCAAGAATTGTAACAACAAACATATAAACAAAAATATCAAGACACAAACAGAAACTTACAATTTAATTTTTATTTGACATAAAGATCATTTGGGAGTGTCCAAAACTATTTATTGGATATCATAGTATTTACAACAGTACATAATTCATTTATTAATGATGATGAAATCAATTTTATTTCAATCCTGAAGGGACATCAGTCTTTAATACCCCATACAAAAATACATTTTAATAATTCAAATAAAGAGTTGATGTGAATAAAAAAAATGTAAGCATTGTTTGAAAGCAAGGCAAAGACTGAGATGAATAAAAGTTATGGAATGATTGCTTCAATGACTAATTGAAATCTTAGCATTCCAGTTACAAGAGCTTTATACAATGTGGATACTAATTTTATTTTATAATTTGTTTTCAATCCAGGGGACATTATCATGACATGTTTCATCAGGGGAGAGTATCTCTTAACTTATTTAAATATTCAAACATCTTGAAAATAAATTAACTGTAAAACAACAATAACCACCATGCTCAATTAACGTCAACAAAACTTAGCATGTACTAAACGGCTTCAGTCATTTTGTGGAACCATTTATGTACAACATGTATTACCCTATCCAGATTTTTAAATGGGTTGAAAGCTGATAATTATGTCCAAGCTCCAACCTTAATTAAATTATTACATACAAAACTGGCAAAAAAAAAAAAGCTAATGACTTGTACAAATCATGCCATCAGGTATCACACCTAGACAAAATTCCCTGCGATAATGCAAACCATCTGCACAAAGCTGACTGTACAATACAAATAAAAGCTCCAGAAACTCATGCAACACAACATTAAACATGGGGCAGGAAATACATAGAAAATAAATCAAATACAAAATACTATGGAACCTGGCACCTTCATACATGCTCATATTTTAAAACAATTTTAATAGTAAAAACAATAAGGTAAATTAACATAACAGCAAAAGATAACAGGATTCAGCTACAATAACTTAATTTCAAAATAGAAACAAAATTTATCTAAATAAATAAAAGTTTTGATTTAAAACATGAATACCTAGCTTTCATTTACAAGAACATGTTACAAAATCTTGCATTTAATTAAAACTGAACTCGTAATGCGCATATTAAAAATATTTATATATCTATATGTATGTAAATATAATACAATTCTGTTTGCCTTATAGAAAAATATGAAAAAAGCATGCGATAGACAAGGTCCATCAACACAATGGTAAAGAAATATAACAAAAACTATTTAAAATTGATATGTGAATTTTGTTATTTTTGGTCCTACACAACATGCATACATGCCACCTATGTTTAAGTGTCAAGGTGTCGCTGTAAACACACAACACTAACCACTGGTCAACACCTGGCCAAGCTTACACCCAACACTAACCACTGGTCAACACCTGGCCAAGCTTACACCCAACACTAACCACTGGTCAACATCTGGCCAAGCTTACACCCAACACTAACCACTGGTCAACATCTGGCCAAGCTTACACCCAACACTAACCACTAGTCAACATCTGGGTCAAGCTTACACCCAACACTAACCACTGGTCAACACCTGGCCAAGCTTACACCCAACACTAACCACTGGTCAACATCTGGCCAAGCTTACACCCAACACTAACCACTGGTCAACATCTGGGTCAAGCTTACACCCAACACTAACCACTGGTCAACATTGGTCAACATCTGGGTCAAGCTTACACCCAACACTAACCACTGGTCAACATTGGTCAACATCTGGCCAAGCTTACACCCAACACTAACCACTGGTCAACATCTAGTCAAGCTTACACCCAACACTAACCACTAGTCAACATCTGGGTCAAGCTTACACCCAACACTAACCACTGGTCAACATCTGGCCAAGCTTACACCCAACACTAACCACTGGTCAACATCTGGCCAAGCTTACACCCAACACCAACCACTGGTCAACATCTGGCCAAGCTTACACCCAACACTAACCACTGGTCAACATTTGACCAAGCTTACACCCAACACTAACCACTGGTCAACATCTGGTCAAGCTTACACCCAAGCTGGCCTGTAAAGAGACACCACTAAAAAAAACTATTCAAGTGTTCTAACACATCTTATTGCACAATATGTTAACAAAAAAAAAACAAATACAAAAAGCCCCAGACAAGGTAGGCTACTCTTGCGGTTAATGTTGGTTAGCAAAGAAATATTCACACTCAAAAATCCCACAAAAATATATACAACAACAGTAATACATCCTATAAAAGCCATTGAGGAGTATATTAGTCCATGCTAAGGGAGAAATGCTACATGAATTGAATGTACAAAATTTACAGGAATATTGTTTACACTTTCTTTAATACAACAAAACCATAGCACATGACCTTTTTGGTTAGACCTTACACTGTAGACACCATTGGACCAAAACATTCAAGTGAGACTGACAATTAGAGAAAAGTGACTGACTATAACAGGTATGGAAGTTCTAAACCCAATGGGACTGAGTGTACCTGGCAGCCTTGTACCATTATAGCTACACAGTAAACAGATCCCATATGAGACCACCCATTTCAAACAAACATACAGCTAATACCTTGATTTGTATTAATAAAATACTAATTGTAATGAGAAATCTTCAACTTTCATTGATACATCTTTCAATTAAAAAATATTTTTAAATATTGCCTGCAATCCTACTCAGTATTCTATGTAAACCAAGCAATTTAAAACACCTGTTCTTATCTAATGAAAGGTGTAATAATTTTTATATTTTATTTGCAATTCTTTTTAAATAAGTATATATATATGGTCTTATTATATGCACACAAACACAAATCACAATAGGATGTATATGAAGAGATAAAAGATGCTTTAGATTTTACTTATTTCTGGACTCATCATCCGCTGGAAGATGTTATCAGAGCCTGGCTCAACAAGTGATGGAGGCATCTGGTCTGGGACTAGCACCGGCATTTCATCATCTTCAGGTGTGCTGTCTCGAGATTCTCTGCTGCATGCTGCCGCCGGCTCTATAGGCTCAAGGAGTGGGGGGCTGAGCGCCCGGGGCGAGTCACAGCTCTCCTCCATCCTCTTCTCCTCCAGCACACATTTCTTCTTCTGTGCTATTGCCTGAGCTATTTGATTTGTCAGACCAGTCAGTTTGAATGCTGTAGCTGGAGGGTGTGCACTAGTGGACGGTGATACTGTGGAAGCGTTGGTACACACTGGAGGAGGTTCATCAGAAGAGCCAGAAGGTTGCTGAGGGCATGCTGTTTCTAGCGATGGACAAGATTCATCCATGGGTTCCTGTGTGGAGTCTTTATGCTGTAGTTCGAGAGCTTTGTAAAATGAGTCACTGTCTGAAGACTGGCTCAGTTTGCCATTAGGTTTGCTGTCTTCATCATGAGCAGCAGCTGAAAGCCCTGAATCTTGACTACCTTCAGAAAGCTGTGCAGCATCTGAAAGCCCAGAGTCTTTAACACCTTCTTCAGAAAGTGCATGTTTTGTATTTTCTGAATTCAAATGTACTTCAGAGTTTCCATCATTAATGGAATGTTCACTGTGTGAAGTTTTAGAATATTTAACACCTGGCTCACCTTCATCTTTGCCAGCTTGCTCTCTCAGCCTCTTTCTGGATGTTTGATCTGTATCAGAAGAGAACTTCTCCATAGATCTTTCAGCCCTCCGCTTCCATTTTTCATAAACAGACAGTTTTTGTGGAGTTCCAGTAGAAAAATCTGCTGTAGATTTTTTAGCTGTTGTAGATTTCAACTCTGGGTTCTTTGAAGATGTGGCTCCATCATGAAATAGTTTACCTGACTCTGTGCCTACCCTTTCTTCATGTGAATTGTTCCCAGAATTCTGTGATTTGACACAAGGAATTTTGGTCTCTTTATGGTCCTCATGGAGAATAATTTCACTGAACCTGACCTTTTTGACTGGAGGTGAGGTCACATGATCAGGCTGATCAATGGCAGGCAACTTAACAGGATGATAGTATTGACTGGACTTTGGCCCATGAGAAACTCTGCTGTTGCCATAAATTGTCGAGGTATTGGACATTTTATCTGGAGCAACATTAAACAGCATTTGCCCTTGCACAAGTTTAGCATTGCCTTCAAATACAGCTACTTCCTTTGTGATAGGACTTTTCAGCTTGCTTGCTAGTCTTTCATTCACCTTTCTCAAGCGTTCCTTAATGTCAACACTAGGTGAAAGAGGTTTGAACCCAGCTATTTTTTTAACTGGCAGGGGCTGCTCCTGTTTAATCTCAGCTGGAGGATGAGTTGAGCTTTTGATGGTTGTGTTGCTGGCATCTGGGCCAGCCCCTGGAGAAATGGCAGGCTTTGGGGACACGTTGGTTTCCTTCAGCTGGAGGCCAGCCTTTAGCTTAACCACCTGGCCTGCAGGGCTGTTGGCATCTAGAACTGTTATTTTGTTCTGGGCAAGAAGTTTCTCGTACTCTTCTCTAGAAATCTTGACAACCTTGACGGGCGGTTTGGCTGGTGCAGCCACAGGTGGTGGAGCAGGTTTTGGTTCTTGCACATTTTTCCCGTTTTCTGATTTGGATTTTTTAATGTACTGGTTGATGGTGATGCAAGGAAGAGTGCGCACAGTTTCCCTGAATGGAAGGGAATATCTGAACTTTGCACCTGGATATTTGCTCAAGTCCACACCATGTTTTTTTGGCGTCTCCTCCGATTCACCTTTTGCACTTTTGGGAATGTACGACTCAAAGTCTTTGGCGCTGCTCCCCCCCAGCAATTCACGACGATAGCTCCATGTAGCTCTTGGCTTAAATTCATCATCCTCCTGGTTGGAAGAGCTTTCATTGTTTGCGGCACTGTAGAAATAGATACACATTAATTTGATATTTACAATTATTGCTCAATTACTGCATTATTTCAATCTCTGTTATTCTCTTTGATACTTACAGTTTCTTTTGATTTTCATCTTCATCTTCTCCCCATCTTCTTCCAGAGGAATAAAGAATCTTCCCAGAAGTATAAGAATCTGGTTCAGAATCTGAGTCAGAATACTGTGAATAAAATAAAACCAAAAGTTAAAAACAGACAATCTTGGATGCATGAAACAAAAAAGCAGTTAACAACTTCATAGCATATGACAAACAAAAGGACTTTTTGAAATGCGCCATTTTTGCAATGTATATATTACACACCCTTCTCCTTTTGTAAGGATGCCTCTGGCCAGCGTAGCCATACTCCTGCAGGTATGTGGACTCCCCCCAACTCTCACGTTTTCTGGTTGCTCGATGACAGGCAGGCTCCAGGTAGACACGAAATGTTCTTCTCATGCTGCGCTCAAACACACCTTTTAAATTTTCTGCCATGTAACCAAAGTCTAAAAAAGAAGATTATTAAACAAAATCAGACTTCGTAAGTAATAACTAAACGCACTCAACTTCAAGTGGGTAAATTGAATTAAATATTTCCAAGCTAGACAAAGTACAGTTACATGAAAACCAGTCATTTTTCTCAAATCTTACCACTGTCTTTGCCATGGTACTCAATACAGTTGTCAAACACAAGATTCATATCCCTCTCAAACTGTTCTGGTGACTTGTAAGCTTTCTCAGACAATTTTTTTTCTATCTGTAGCAAATCTATGGGTTCCTGGACAAATTTTACAAACATTACAAACAAACAAAAACTATTCTCTCTGCAAAGGACATGATAACAGTTTTAACACTCAATAGTCTTCTAGCGCAAGAAAATATTACTCTTAAGTTCATAAATTGGTTGCCGAATCTGAACGCTTTTTTCCCTTAAAGGATAAATGCTCTAACAAAAAAAAAACCACCTACCTTGATCATTTCAAAGAAATCTGGTGTATTTACTTCTTCAACAGCTTCCAAAAATGGCCATGAGTGCTCATTACGTTTGATGTTGAGTAACACTAGTTAGATAAAAACAAACACATTAGAAATGATCGAGTTTAAGTAGTTTTAAAAAATTGGTCCCACTGGCGTGTACCATATTGGTCATTATGCTTAAAAAAAAATAATTAAAATATAACACTCACCTTTTTCAAAATTGTATTGCATTTGCTCATCAACATCATCTTCATTACTGTAAAACAAATTAAAAGATGGAATTACTTTTTGTTTCAAATGTTCAAACACTTAAGTTATTAAAAAAAAAAAGAAGATAATTAAAGTAATCTACTTACTCTTCTTGTTTGAGTCCATTCATCAGCTCAGGTGGTATCTCTTTACCCTCAGCAATAAGTCGAGCTCTTTCTTCCCTCAACCTAGCTCTATTTGCCCTCTCTAAACAAATTTAAAAGGAAATTTATTATTGTTTGTAGTTATTGATTGAGTTTTGAGTGGTTAAAAAATGAATAAATGAATAAATTACTGATGATTATTAGGTAATTAACAAATTTTGCAGGGAAGAAAAGTTACAAATCAATGCATTTTTGGTATATATAGACTAACCTGCTCTAGCCCTCTCTTTCTCTTCTTTCTGTCTCTTTTCTTCTTCTAATTTTAACTGCTGCCTTTTCTCCTCATCTGCTATGGCTTTCAGCCTTTCTTCCTCTTCTTCAGCTTCTCTATTTAAACGCTCCTGTTAAAATAACACAAGAACAGAATGATAGCAACCCAGAATACTAGCAGAAATGTTACTTTTCATTTTGCTAACTCTAGAGTGAGCTGTTTCCACATAAGAAAAATAAATATTTAAATATACTAATCAATCTAATTATATAAGAACAGACTGTAAGAAGCTGTATAAGATGCAGCAAGAATAAGGCCGAATGGAACTTTAAACTAAGGTCATGGGTCAGGGCAAAGGTAAGCGCTGACATCACCTCTTCAAAATATGTTAATTTTTGTCACTTGCAATGTGTTACAATGCATTATTAGCTTTTGGCTATAGCTTTATTTAATGATATAACTGCTACTTTTTTCTATTAGGTCCCAATACTATTATCAATTATCTAATCCGAGATTGCAAGCGATATTCATTACTGATACACTGTAAGGATTTTAATTGAAGACAGATGGCACTTTAGTGGGGGGTTTTAATTTTAGTATTAATTGGATAATTATATTATCCCATTTTTTGCTAATTTATAAAAAAAAAAACATGCTTATGACAAAAGATTAAGAGTTGTACTTTTTCCTCTTCCTCCAGTTTTTTGAGCTCTAATCTGTAGGAAGATCTCTTGGGCAACATTTCTTGGGCTCTCTTTTCTCTTGCTCTTTCCTGTTCATTTTAAAATCATTTATAACAATAATGTTATTTACAATTTATACATAGGTTTACTTGAGTTATTTTTTTGCATGTATTTTTTGATTTGAAGAAATATTTTTAAAAAGACTGATAGTAAAATCAACTTGTACTGACCTTGTCCTCCATGATGGTAGGTATCTCAGGCAGGAAATCATTTTTTAAAGTCTTGTACAACTGTTTTTCTTTGTAGATTTTAGTGTCTTTAAACTCTTCAGTCAGGTGTTCCCAATCTTCCACACTTTCACACACTAGCTGCCAGTGGCTCAGGCCACCCCTCAAAGGTTTGTCATCTGCATACAAGGCAACATAATCCATTGCGGTTTCATCTTTGATCTTTTTCTCCTCTTCTACTAAGCTAAGATCTTTGGAAGTCTCAACTTTAATATCATCTTTTTGCTCTTCCTTCACTTGTGTTGTCTCATCAGTCTTGATGGTATCCTCAAGAGCTGTGTGCTCCTCTGGTATGACTAGACCTGTGGGTTCTTGTGCTGCTTGTGAGATGGGAGCTGCAGGGACTTCCTCTATTATTTCAATGCACTCTTCTTTAGGTACAGTAGTGTTTGTGTCCACAGCGGTGTCTGACAGTTCACTTGACACTGGTAGATCTTCAGTGACTCTATCAACAACAGTGGCCAACTGTTCATTTGTTACATCAACTGAACTTGTATTTTCAGCTTTTTCTTTTTGAGAACCATCTTCTTCAGCTTGACAAGTGCCTGAACATACCTTGCTACCTTCACTAACATCAGGTGCTTCATCAGCTCCATGACACACATCCTCTACCATTGTGACATCACAGGGCGTGTCTTCTTTAGCAACCAGCTCATCAGTCACTAGCTGGTCACCTCTGTCCTCAGGAGATAGCTCTACATCCATATCAGTGGCAGTGTGATCAGCTGGTGCAGTATCAGTACAGTTTTCATTGAGCACAACCTGGCTCTCATCAACACTTGACAGTCTTTCTTCTACAGACTTTGGCTCATCAGTATCTTTATTACCCGGCTGTGGGGGTGATGTTACATTATCAATAGCTGCCAACACAGCTATGTTTTCTTGTGAGTTATCCTTGTCTGTTGCAGCTTCTAACACAGATGCACTTGTAACATTCAAAGAATCTTCAACAACATCCATGTGCTTTTCCTCTGTTTCCATAGCGATACAAGCATCAGAACATTCTTCCACTACTTTATCTTGTTCTTTTATCAGCTCGTCTCCTTCAGCATTAGCTGTCACTCCTGATGACTGGAAGGTTTCATCAACTTTTTCATCTGAAGCTGTCGCTGCCTGTTCATTGACAGCTTCAACCCCTGCACATGTTGTCTGACATGAACTGCCATCTTTTTCTTCACAGCTGACATCCATTTTGTCAGGACCACTGTCTCCCTCTCCACCTTGATGAGTCTCTGTACTCTCTTCACTTGAGACTTCATTCAATGAACTCTCAGAACAAACGGCTGTGTGCACTCTGTCTACAATGTCTTCCAACACCATCTCAACAACTACTTTAGTGTTCTCTTCCTTTCCAGCACCTGCTTCCCTCTCTTCATTGTTGGTTAATTCAGGTACTGTAGAAGTTTCTGTATCTTCAGTTTCTGCCTGGCCAGTGGGTTCAGGTTTAGTAAAATGAATAGTCATATTTGTATCCAATACTATCAGGGATACTGATGCATCATCCTCTGTTGGTTTGGCTAACACATTATCCTCTGTAACTTCAGCATTACAAGTTTCTACTACTTTAGAAGTGTCCATTTCATTAACACCAACACCCTGTATTGTGTTCTCTTTCTCACCAACACTTGTCACTGTTTCTGTCTTATCTTTGTCAACAACTCCAATGATTGGAGTGTCAACAACATGCTCTTGTTCCCCAGCCTTTACCCTGATCTTTGCTTTGTATCGATTTTTGTTAACAGCAAGTCCTAGAGTCTCCATACATTTCAATTTCAGCTCTTCCTCCTCTTCCTCCTCAGGATCAACCATTTCTTCATTAGAGGCTGCAGTGGTAAGCTGCTGGGGATGACCAGATAAAGCTTCTACTACAGGTGTTCCATCTGTAGTATTGTGGTCAGGTAAACTTTCTTCTACAGGTGTTCCATCTGGCCTATTGTGGTCAGCTAAACCTTCTACTACAGGCGTTCCAGGTAAACTTCCTTCTACAGGTGTTCCATCTGCCTTAAAGTGGCCTAGTAAACTCTCTGCTTCAGGTACTTCCTCTGATACATGTGTTATCTCTTCAACTGGGCTGTCCTGTGACACAGGAGACAACACGATGTTGTCAGAGCCTGGTTGACTGCAGTTACCTTCTGGCTCAACTGGTGCATCTGAAGACTCTTCCTTCTGCTGTGAACTTTCAGTTGGGTCCACAGTTTCTCCTACGACCCCGTCTACTTCATCCACATCCATTTCTTCACTTTTAGGAACATAGTCAATCACTGCTTCTTTTATAGGAATTGATAAGTCAACTCCCACTGGTGGCACATTGCTTGCAGGAGTAGAATCATTCATGGCCACAGTGGAACACATTCTGTGAGTATGAGAAACACTAAGATCCAAAGCCTCATCAGAGGGCAGGGTTGAAAAGTGAGCACTTATGTTTGCCCTGCTCGTATAGGATAAATCAATAGCACACTCACTGTCAGGCACATCGTATCTTGTGAGAGATAATGCCCTGGCTTGACTGTCTACGAGTATGTCGGTGGGTATGTCAACATGACTGTAGTCTGTAACATCTATAGGCTGCTCGGCTAAAAATCTGGCTTCTTCTGTAATGATGGGCTGCTCAGTCATGGGTTCATTTAAATACTTGGTGGGTAGCTCTATTATGGTGGTTTCCTCTGTAATAGAAGGTTCTTTTGTAATGGTAGTGGACTGATTTATAATTATTGAGCATTGATCAATAATATTCGAGGATTTATCTGTAATGACAGATTGGTCTGTAATATTTAAAGATTCATCTGTAATGTTTGCTGCATGATTTGTAATTGAGGATAGCTCAGCGGTGGATATCACTGTTATATTTGGAGATTCTTTGGTTATGCTGGAGGTTTGATCATCATTGTCAGAACATTCTTTTGTTACACTGATGGGCTCATCTGCAATATTTGATGATTCTTCTGTAATGTCGTTTGACTCATCTGCAATATTTGATGATTCTTTTGCAATGTTATTTGACTGATCTGCAATATTTGATGATTCTTCTGTAATGTTGTTTGACTCATCTGCAATATTTGATGATTCTTCTGTAATGTCGTTTGACTCATCTGCAATATTTGATGATTCTTTTGTAATGTTATTTGACTCATCTTCAATATTTGATGATTCTTTTGCAATGTTATTTGACTCATCTGCAATATTTGATGATTCTTCTGTAATGTTATTTGACTCACCTTCAATATTTGATGATTCTTCTGTAATGTTATTTGACTGATCTGCAATATTTGATGATTCTTCTGTAATGTTATTTGACTGATCTGCAATATTTGATGATTCTTCTTTAACGTCCTTTAACTCATCTGCAATATTTGAAGATTCTTCTGTAAGATTTGTAGATTGATCTACAGTATTTGATGATTCTTCTTTATTATTGGATTGATCTGCAATATTTGAAGATTCTTCTGTAATGTTGATGCATTGATTTGTAATACTTGAAGATTCTTCCGCCAAGTCCTTAGGCTGATCTGTAGTGTTAGTGGATTGATCTGCAATATTTGAAGACTCTTCTGTAATGTCATTTAATTGAGCTACAATATTTGATGATTTTTCTGTCAAGTCCTTAGACTGATCTGTAATATTTGAAGATTCTTCTGTAATGTTAGTGGATTGCTCTGTGCTATCTGAGGGCTGTTCTGTAATGAGGGTCTGAGTTACATTTGTTACATCCATCCTGGCCACAGTGTCCAAGTCAAGAGGCGTCCTCCATTCACCTTCTGTTAAGTTGACCTCATTGTCTTCATCCATCTCATCCTCAACATCTTGCAGTTCAATTATCCTTTGCTCCTCTTCATCGTCATCCTCATGCTGCTCCTCTGTGTCAACTAGAATCTCTTTAGAAACACAAGCATCAGACAATACAACCTCATTAGCTATATCCTTACTATCACTGAGATTCTCATCTTTAGCAACACTGTCGTTAGATATTGGATCTGTGGAAGATGTTTTAACCTGTTCACAAGCTGGTTCATCTGGGACTGGATCAACATCACATAAATGCTCAGCATCACCTGAGGTTAATTCTTTCACATTACAGCTCTCATCAACTTGGTCAGGGTCACTCTTTGTTGTGTCACTCATTTTACTATTATCTTCAGTTTTATCTGTTTCAGCATGTTGGACTAATTGTTGACTTGTGGCATGCTTTGTGTCTGAGGTATCAGGTTCTTTTGATTCTGAAACAGGTGCAGCAGTTTCAGATTGTGTTGGTCTACACTCTGACTGAACCACATCAGTCTCTCCTGCAGGAACTTCATGGTTAATGGATGCTGCAACATTGGCCTCTGCACCAGCATCCTGGTTAGAGTTTGGCAAGTCTTGAGCAGCACCCTCAGATGATTGTGTCACATCCTCGCCAGATACTTTATTTTGTCGTCTCTGGGGTGTTGATTTCCTTCTTGAACTTCCCTTTTTTGACACACTGTCATGGGGTGAAACATTTCCTCTGACTGCTGATTCTGTATTCTCAGATATATCATCAACAACAGTGTCCTGCTGAATGCTGGCGTTTAACTGGTTGACAGCCTGCTCTATGTTTTTCATGTGAATGGCCTCAGCTTCGCTCTTGACCATCCCACTGCTTAAACTACTATTGCTGCTGTGTTTTATCTTGTCCCCATTCACACTGCTGTCCCTGCTGTGACGGCCAGTAAACTGGTTATGAAAGCCATCAATCGCTAGGCGTTTGAGTTCTTTTTTAGAAAGACTAGGATCAAATACAATTTCTGGAGCTTCTTCCTCTGCCATTTTACGACGAGATCTACGAGTTGGCTGGTGATCTGTCAACTGTTTATTCTGTGTTGCCTTTTTCCTTTGTGGTGTTTCACTGGAGAAAAAGGCAGATTAGACAACATGTATACACTTACTTAAATTGAAAAAATTATCATTTGTTATCCTAAATGCATTTAGAAAGTATATTGTGGTGCTACATATTTTAAAAACTGGGAGAGCCCTTGCCATAAGTGCCAAGAAAGTTGACACAAAACATTATCGGATTAAACTGCAAGTTCAACCTGAAGGATTCAGAAAGGAGATTTATTTCACCTGATGTGCATATCAAATTCTGATAAAAACCTATTTATTTATCTTTTTGTGACTTTTTTTTTTGACTTTCTTATGATCAAATTCTGGTAAAAACCTACCCATTTATCTCTTTGTGATTAACTTTCTTCTCAGCTTTTGGCTCTTTGTTGTTGCTCTTAGATCTGGATTTCCTCCTTTTTTTACCACTTGATTTTCTTTTAGATTTTGTAACAGTTTCTATGTACTTCCTGAAATTATTACAATTGTAATAACAAACCATTAAGTCTACAAAAACAAACAAAAAAGGCTATCTATAAATTACAAAAGTTTTCATAAACTTTCGAAACGGATGTATAAAGAAAGCTGATAAACTTTAAAAATATATCTTAACTTACGTCTCATTTTCAGAGTTTTCTGCACTTTTAATAGGTGTCTTCTTTCCAGGGGACTTTTTTCTGCCTCGTGTCGTTTTTTTCTTCATTTTCAGTTCTTCTTCAAAATCTACATCATCTTTGTCATCATCCATTGCTTCATCATCACTTTCCTGAAGCGCCTCACTGTTAACAATAAAACGTAATTTTTTAAAAATTGTTTTTACAATATTTAGCCAGACAACCTAAATTTAAAAATTAGTTTAAAAAAATACATTATGAAACAAGATGAATAATTTTATATAATGATATATTTTTAATATGTGAGATTATAAAAACTACACCAACACTCACGCTAACTCTTTCTGAGCTTCATCCTCTTCTTCTTCTTCTACCTCCTCTTCCGTAATATGTTCATTGATATCTTCATCCATTAAAACACTGTCTTCAATTTCTTCATCAGCATCTGCTTTCATAGCTCTAGCACTTAGGATTGGGTTTCTTTTTCCCTTTTCACAAGCATCATTTTCATCTATATCTTGAGGCTCTTCAACATCCTCTTCCAAATCCAATCCCTTTCTTTTTTTGCGAGTTCTTTTGTCATCATTTAACCTTAAACATTTTTTACATTTGATTATATTAATCAACAGCTTTACTTAACTGTCAAAACCTTTTTTTTGTTCTACTTTTGATTATACTGAAAATGGATACAGCATTCAGTGCTGCATTATGAAAATGTAAACTTACTTTTCTTTAGCACTAGCAGATTCAGGCATTTCCCTGTAGAGCCGAGTCCCATAAAAGTACCAGTACTTAGCTCCTTTGGCATCAACACCTAATGGCTCCACACGTAGGCTATCACCACTCAAGCCCTGAAAACAAACAATATAGAATATTTTGTTTGAAAGTTTGTACTGAAATGGCAAGGAATCTAAAGAAACCTGAATCACTTCTTTTTAAATGCAGATTATTGACATGCCAGTTAATTATAATAACTCACTGCATATTTTCAAGAAATTATTTTTTCATTGCTACTGAACTAGCAATATCCACTTTTGTATATTTGGTAACGCAGATAACTTAACCCTAAAGTCTGTAGCTGTACAATTTAAAGCATTGTATTAACTAAAGCAACTGTAGGAATATGCTGCTAGAACATCTAATTGATAAGAACAATCTTTTTACTTTCACAACACATTCAAGTACTACCTTTAACATTTCTGCAACATCATCAGCATCAAGTCTAAAGTCACAAAGAGCATGTAAGATTTCCACTCTTTGCCTTACAGGTAAACCAAGAAAGGGGGTGTCTGCCAGAGGATTTGGGCGACCAAGCTCTTGTTGCCATCGCTGTTTAAATATATCCTTCAGGAACAGGTCATAGTTGAAATACCTGAAATAAAAATAACATTTTTAATGGTGTTACTGTTTAATTAAACACCAATAACTTGAATAACACTTCTAATATATTTACAGCTGTAGGCCTATTTATGAATGTTAAAAATCAAGACTAAAGTGAAACTATTATATTTTTACTCTTCCTAAATTCTAACAATAAAGTTTATATGTACAAATAAAGTATGATACTGTCCAACAGGTTTTGAAGATTAATTTGTGACAATATCGAGAAGTCACACTAGTGGTATAAATTCAAGTCCAATAATAATCTATCACAAGGAATAAGATAACTTTGAAAAAGATATTATTCACAATTCTATCATTCCAGTTGGAAATAAGTGAAACTGTCTAATAAAAATAAAGGCAATCACATAAATTATAACTTACTTAATATCATCCCTGGCATAACATCCATTTAAGAGTTGACATATTATGTCAATGACAAGTGTACTACCTCCCAGAGCAGGTGATGTCAGAAGTGCTTCTTCTAAGTCCTAATATAAAAACATAAGATTTAGTCACTTGTTTATTATTTAACAAACATTTATAAATTTTCAAGCCATAATTTAAAAATGCTTACAGTTTAGGAAAATATTTTGAACATGTTTTTACCTCTATGTCAAAGTCACTGAAACCAAACACTGCCTTGAAGAGGGAACAAAAATGTGCTATGGCTGGAACCTCCCACCATGTATGAACTTCTGCAAAAATAATTGAAGTGATTTTATTTTTATAATCTCTTAATAAGCTAAGTAATTTGCTATGACTACTCAAAATAAACTGCTCACTGCAAATTCAAATTAGTTAGGCCTATTGTTGAGCATTTAAATTTTAGTCTACATGACTGAAAAACAATAAGTTAATAACATTAGACCCACTAGATGTATTATATCAAACGAGTGAAATAATAAATAAATAGCTTAGATTTTAGATACACTCTATAGGGCCTTGGCATTTATCTCCCTTACTTCCGATAATTGGGTAAACCAATGTCTGATAATAGATTCTTCCTTATGAAAATAGGTGTTTCATGTTGTTAGTTACTTAGTAAACTTAAAGTCTAGTTTTATGGTTAGAAATTAGGGTTAGGATTGGGGTTAAGATTGACATGAGCAAGTTAAATGTGTATTTACAAGTAAACTAACATCTCTCTTTTAAAAAGATAGTAGGCCTATTAAATTATTGGGATGATTTGAGATACTGATGTCCAATAATAGACTCTTCCATAAAATAGGTGTGTTGGGTTGTTAGAAGTATTGTAATCTCGCCTACATTTTTGGTTAGAAATTAGGGTTAGACATATGGTAGGACTATGGTTGGGGTTAGGAAGATGGTTAGCATTAACATTAGCCAGCAATGTATGTATTTAGTTAACTACCAGTAAGGGGTCAACAATAAATGATGTCACGCTTTTTTAATGAGTTTTACCTACCCCCCTCACCTCCGTCACAAAAAGCCACTAAAATGACATCACACCTTAGCCTACAACCCCCCTCAAAATTGCAGTTGAATTTTCCTTAAAACATCAATATTTTTCCAAAATCTTATCTGAACTCTCTCAACACTGAGTATTTTAATCAATTCCTATTACAATTTATTTAAACAGTTTTCTAAAATGCGAAATAACGGCTAAAGTTTTGTTTTCTAACATTACTTTTTGTTGATGCAAAAATGTGACATCCCATTATCTGAACCCCCCCCTCATCACACACCATCACCAAATTACAGACCCCCCCTCCCTATGAGTGTGACGTCTTTTATGGACAACCCCTAACCTAACACCATTTTTTTAAAAGAAGATTCTATTATCAGACACCGGTATAAAAATTCCCCCTATTATAATGTACTAGGCATGCTGCCCAGCTTCGCTTAGGCTTTCGAAAACATTGAGAATTTGAATGCTTAATTAATTCGCCCGAGGGTCGGTCTACGACCTCAAGAGTTATGAAGAGGTTCCTCCGTGGACATTTTTTTTTCGATTTATAGCTCATATAAGGCACCGGTCAGTAGAGGTCAGTTTTGACCCCCTCATCGTAGACTTTTCGGCCAACCGGCCCCCGTGCTCTGTCGCCCCAAGGCAAGATCCTGCCAAATTTCAAGCGCCTGCGGCGCCAGGAAGTGCCCTATCGGACACCCGACAATCTAGATCTAGAGTCCTAATAGAATTTTTTTTTAAGTTTAGCCCGAGCAAAATAAAAAAAAAATAGATTAACTAAGTTGACTTGGTGCGTCTCGAACCCACACCACCTGCGTGAGTTTAAGTACACTATCATCTCCGCTATATAGGCACCTTAGAAACACGGAGAATAAAAGACGTATTTTAAAATCTTAACTTACGCGAATATGCCTATTCTTTCAAATTAATTTTTTTATCCCAAATTAGCCAGTTCCAAACAAAGACTTTGTATAAAATAATTATGTCTTGAAATAGTTTAGTCCTAATATAGAAATTTATTTTTGGAATAGATTCTAGAGAAGTTAGAGTCTAAATCTAGATCTTAGCGTCTACGTCTCGATCTAGATCTAGTTATTGCGTAGATTTGTAGATTTAGATCTAGTCTAGATCTAGAATCCAAATAAATAAAATAAATTTTATGAGTTTAGGCCGGAAAAAATTGTATTGTATACATTTCATAGTGTACGTAGATCTAAATCAAATTTGAATGAAATAGTTCATTTCTTTTTATTCTAAACACAGCAGATGACGTCATTAGATAATGTATAAGCAATAGTGACATCACAGTTTTATGCGTTCTTTTTCACGTGTATTAATGCTTTTCCGGTTGCATAAATAATACTGTTTCTCTACATTCGAATACGCCTTTATTTTTTATTTTTCTTCTTTAAATAAAATTGTGGTTATACATTTAAAACATCTAACATATTATTTTCAACAAAAGTCCGTAAAAAGTTCTCGATATATCGCTGCCGATTCTGACGTGATGTCCGGCGAAAAATTTTTGCGGACAGACAGAGAGAGAGAGAGATGTGCGAACGTGGGGTATTATATATTAGGATTGTGCTCATTATCTGACACACACTGGAATACAAATACATCCCACCTTCCGATCTAAATTGATTGTTTGTCTAGTAGTCTACTATTAGATAGGACCGATCCAGGTCTAAATTGAAATCTAGATCTAGATCTGATTACTATCTATAACTAGGCCCTATTCTAAATCAGTAATTACAGACAAGGTCCATCTTAGAATATTAGACCATTTTAAACATAAATTTTAAACTCTATTGCTGAGTGAGACTTGAGGCCCCTACCTACTGTACTAAAGTAACTAAACTTTTAATATCCAGATCTAGAAATCTATCTAGATCTAGAAGCTACTAGTCTAGTACTACACTACTAGAATCTAGATCTAGATTTCTAGAGGCAGGTCTAGAAATCTAGATATCTAGATCTGACCTATCTAGATCTAGATCTAGTAAGTAGGCCCTAGCCCTGCCCTAAGCCTGGCCTATGAGAAATTTTAATTTCATCTTGAATAGTTTTACCTCTAAGACGTTCTTGTGTTTCGGAAAATGGTAGATCACTGTGCTTAATGCTTTCTGCGTCGGTGTCGTCCATTCTGTGAAATCAGAGGACTGACCCGATGCATCAATCAACTGTCAAGTCAATGGACGTAGGCTTCAGTTTTATTATTTTACGACACTACACCGTCGTAAGCTTGCTTGGGTAGTCCCGTTTATTGTCAATCGCACAGTACCTTTTGAACAATAAGTTAAATGCAACTAGCTCAACAAATGCAAATTCAAAAGTAGTTTTGAGATGATAATACAAATACGGTTTGGTGCATCTGACTACGCGCTGTCAACTATGGCGATTAAATGGTTAATATACAGTTTTATGCTCTTTTATCACGCTCCACAATATCGGCCATCTTGTTTGGGTTAGGAGGGATATGCTGTGCATTATGGGTTAGTATTGAATCAACAAGATGGCGGTCCACCAATTCAATGTTTACGATGAACATTTGTGTTAGGCCTAACCACATAGAGTCTAGCTGTGAGTGTAATTCGTACTTTTGTCTCCCAACTCAGATTTTGCCTACAGATATTTAAAGTACTGATTCTACTACTAAATTGCCCATCCCTATGAATACAATTAACATTTTATATTATTTCTCGTATTTTTATTTTCTTTTTATTTCACACCTCACCTGTTCGTAGCTGTTCAGTACTGTTCACTGCTCATTAAAAAAAAAGTAGATCTAGTAGATTTCTAGATCTAGATCTAAAAGTCAAGTGCGGGTACTGACTTACTTGAACTTGCTTGAGTGTATAAATTAGTAAATTAGATCTTAGCATAGCCTGCTAAATCTATATTAGGGCACATGACTTTTTCCCCTCCCAAAACTATTACTATGCCATAGTATGGCACAGTAACTATGCTTACCAACAGGGACAGGTCACAAACTAAATAATAATCTAGATCTAGAAATAGGGGGGGGGGGGGCTACTGAAATAGATTTAGTTAGAATACAATTACTTAGTCTACTTGAATTACAATCTGAATCTTACTAGATCTACAACCCAAGCGATTGATTTTTTGAAGAAATTGTTAAAAAAATAATGTTTTTGTTTACGTCACCTTTTCAGCTTTTTGTGAGAATAAAGGAAAATAAATGACATTCAAATCACAAGCAATCACTTATTTATTAGGCCCTAATAATGTTAATTATTATAGGCCTAATCATAAGAAAATAGGCCTAATGGAATGAGTGCCTAATGCCGCTATTCCCAGTTGACTGTGGGAATGAATAGACATTTATTATTTTATAGGCTAGCCTATATTTTTATTGGTAATTGTTTTAGGTGCGTAAAATCGGCCAAAGCTAGTAAGGCGCGAAAAAGTTGCTTCATTGGTAAGGCTTTATTAGAAGTATATTGTGATATATTTGTGTCAAATATTAGAGATAACTGAATATTAATTATTAAACCAAAATCAGTTGCTAAATTTATCAATATAGGTCAGAAATTAACTTTAAACAGCAGTGTTTGCGAGGCAAGATTTGCAATATAAACAGCTGCCACCTGTAAGTTAGAGTGCTTTCCCCTGAAACTCTAACTATAATTTTACCAAAAAAAAACTTAAACAAGATGGGTGCTAAAGTAAATGAGCTTGGTTGCATCTGATGAAAACATTGCTAGTCTTTATTTATTGCTGAAAAGTTTTAATACAATTGTCTAAAAACAGGTACATTAATGAAATTTTGAAACATTTTTGTAACTTTTTAAACATAAATCCTCCTAAAAATGTGATATAATTACTAAAATTTAATGAGTCACCTTTTTTGACATTTCTAGCCTCGGCCGATTTTACGTACCTAAAACAATAGATTAACTTATTATCATTATAGCCATAGGTAGCATAGGCCTACATAGAGTCTGGGATCTAAATCTAGGAAAAATCTAGATCTAGACATTTCCATTTGCACTATTTTGCATTTTACTTTTTTGAAGTTTTGTCACAGAAATTGAAACAACTAAGATATAAAATAAGATTATAAGCAATGTTGAACGTTAAAATTTATAGTAGTGTAAATACTTTAGGACAGGAGATTTTGCCATAGATATCTGACTTCAAAGCTTCAGTGGCTATTAATTTAATTTGGGATTTATTTATTATTATAAATTATTATACACATGAAATGTACAAGTCTATATTATTTATAACCACAAAAAAGACATATTAATACATTTACCTGTTTTCATATTATTAGGAGTGCTGTTAATCTGTAATACATTAACTATCTTCAGCGATTATAATAATTAGCCTATTTTGTAATGAATGTATTGAAAAATGAGTATTCTGCCTAAAACCGTATTAAAAATACACAAACCTTTTATAGATATCATTTATTTTATTAGGCTTTTTAAATCATAATTTGTGAATGTATTCATTGTTGAGTTTTGAAAATTTATAATTATAATTGAATAGCATTTTGTTTTTAGTTACAGAATGGTTAATATGCTAGACTAAAGTGTGTTAGTAACTGCATCAAAGCCTTTAAAATGGAGCCAAATCACTGGAACTACAACTTACAGTATGGGCATTCAACTTCTGGTGGCCTTCCAGCAACACACACTTCTCTCAACAGACTTGACCTTACTTCTGGTAAGAATCATAGCACAACTTTGCCCATTTTAATTTACTAGGCATGCTGCCCAGCTTCACTTAGGCTTTCGAAAACATTGAGAATTTGAATGCTTAATTAATTCGCCCGAGGGTCGGTCTACAACCTCAGGAGTTATGAAGAGGTTCCTACATGGACATTTTTTTTCAATTTATAGCTCATATAAGGCGCCGGTCAGTCGAGGTCAGTTTTGCCCCCCTCATCGTAGACTTTTTGGCCAACCGGCCCCCGTGTTCTGTCGCCCCAAGGCAAGATCCTGCCAAATTTGCGGCGCCAGGAAGTACCCTATCGGGCACCCGACAACTTTGCTTTATATATTATAGAGATTAGCAAATTGCATAGATAAACAAAGATTTCAATAAAGTAATTAAGGCCTGAAATACTTTAATATAGAAATGTATTATTTGAATAGATTCTAGATCTAGGTAGGGTCTACATCTGTGTAAGTCTAGTTTTTCCGTGAATCTAGATCATCTAGAATATCTAGATCTAGAATCCTAATAGAAATTTTTTTTTCAGTTTAGCCCGATCAAAATTGTATTGTATAAATTTTATAGCATACGTAGATCTAAATAATATTTGAATGATATAGTTCATTTCTTTTTATTCTAAACACGACAGATGATGTCATTAGTTAATGTATAAACATTAGTGACGTCACTGTTTTATGCATTCTTTTTCACAACTATAAACGCTTTTCCTGTTGCATAATTAAAACTGATTTTCTACATTCGAATACGCCTTTATTTTTTATTTTTCTTCTTTAAATAAAATTGTGGTTATACATTTAAAACATCTACCATATTATTTTCAACAAAAGTCCGTAGCAAGTTCTCCATATATCGCTGAAGATTCTGACGCGCTATCTGGTGAAAATATTTTGCGGACAGAGAGCGAGAGAAGTGCGCACATGGGCTTTTATATATTAGGATTTTTCTAATTACAGTTTAGACTACATTTTCCTCTTCAGTTTAGCCATTAAGGGTTAACAGCACAATTTTAAAAACAATCGCTAAAGAAGCTTTGGGATTAACATCTTGTAAAGCTTAGCAATCCATAGGGCAGATGAAGTAAGTTCTTATGTTTCTTCACCTCAGCATTTGAAGGGATGGTGTGGTAAGCCACCTTTCTTTCCCTCAACGTGAGCCATGTACCTATCAGAGCTAGGTGGACTCAATGACAACCTGCAGTCCTGCGTCTGGACCCAGATTTGAACTCGAGACCTTCAGGCTAGCAGACGAATGGTCTACTGTCTGCCCCCACACTTCCCAAAAAGTGCCAACAGTATAGTTAGTAACTGTCGTGACATTAAGTGTGTTATATTTTAAACAGCAATAAAATTGCCTCTATCTACATGAATAAACAAATATGGTAATATGTTTTACTTCTAGGACTTGGTTTGACTCACAGCCTACAAGCCTCTCATGGCTCTCTTAGTGGCAGGTCTATGGCAAGTGTTAATTATGGCTTGGGAGTTCCAGTTCTAGAAACTATGTCATCCATTAATTCTGGGATTTCCAGCCAGCAGAGCCATAAAGGTATGTCACTAGGTCAAGGTCAACTAGTGTTTGAGCCTCAACTCCGTGTCCAAGCCGAGCAGCAGTCACCAACTTACAGGGGCTACGACAGTTCCAAAGCTCTGAGAGCAGACAGTCTGGCAAGGGAATCAGCGGCCAGGAATCAACTCTTGGAGGCAGCAGCTGCAGCCAGGATGTGGGGCCCATCCTCATCCTTGTACAACCAGTTTGGCTCCATTTTGTCTGAGGTCTCTGGCCCAACCGTTACCACCTTGTCATCACCAGTTTCTGGAACTGGAAGTATTATCTCCCCCAAGTCCAATCAAATTCAGATGCACGATCCGCCACCTGCTCACAGCTCTAACACCAGGCACATACAAAGAAATCTCCACTCCACTGAGCTCTTATATGGCAGGAGCACAGAGTCCTTGATCCCATCAGGCCTGACTCAGATCTCTGTTTACAGCTCCAGTGGTCTCAGTAAACAAACTTTAGTCAACAGTCAACAGCAGGTCTTACACAGACATGCTTCCTTGCACAACCAACAGTCCTATGCATCTCATAATGATATTGAAGACTTATCCTCCAACTCTCAAAACCAACCCTATGGTTCATATGCAAATCTTTCAGTCAATGACTCTCAAGACTTTTCCCCCACACAATTGTCAGGGGACATCAATTACGAAGCTGTGAGCCCTGCCTCTTCTATGAATGAAAGTTCCCAGGCAAATCAAGAGCATTCTTCATTTTCTATTGTACAGTTTCCTGACTTGGCCAATCTGACCTCTGAGCACGCCCACACCCTGGCTGATAAATTCCAGGAAAATGATTTCCGTTTGAAAATTGACACTCGAGCTCAACAACAGCATGAGATTTTATCATCCCACCTGGGACAGCGCCAAGATCTAAGCAGTGCTTTAAAAATTCCTAAAGACATGCCCAACCTGCAGATGTTATCAATGCCAGGGAATCAGCGTGGCAGCCAGTTCCAGCAGCTGTGGATGGGTAACTGCATGAGCATGCCCCAGAGCCAGATCTCCATCAGCTCCCCTGACAGCCTCATCCAGGTCTCACAGCACAACTCTCTGACCACATCCTCCATGCAGCAGCCCCCTGCCCCTATCCCCATCCAGGCTCTGGCAGACTCTACAACCAAACCGAAGCGCCCCAGGAGCAGGAAAAAGAAAGAGCCAAATCAGCCCCAAAGCCCAGGCAGTGAGATAAAAAAATCCCCCGTGTCTATGTCCCACAACATTCTCAACCTCCCCCCTAGCTCTCCTCATGTTTCCACCCTCCCCATGGCATCTCATGTCAGCCAGACTAATCAGATGCAGGGGTACCGGAACTCTAATAACAATCAGTTTCTCTCGAGGGATATCCAGAGAGCTCAAACCCCTTCCATGCCTCAAAACTATTCCATCCAGGATCACCAGAGCCATGGCTACCCTCTTGAAGCAAGTCCCAAGTTAACTGTAGGGCAGAACCAGAATCTAATAAGAAATCAAAATGAATTTATTCTGCCCAATCGTCTTGTCAGTGAAAAGACTTCGAATTCTTACAAGCAAGCTCAGAGAAAATCTGTTGACGTCAGTTCAAAAAGCAATAACTTATCAAATCAGGTATACAGATCCAACATTCCAGATAACCAACAGCATTTGCAGACTTACGCTAGCCACACTATGATGGCTAGCAGTGGGCAGCACAGAGTGTCGCCCATGCAGGACAATCGCACGGGTATTGGAAGGATGCAGGGTTATTCAGAGCTCTCCTCACAACAAAAGATGGCTAGTCAAATGTCCCCTCTAGAACAGCTGTCTCCACAGAGTGCCGACAGTAGTGGTTATAGCAATAAAATGAATAGTTCCGGACACATTCTGACCTCTGGAATCATTAGCTCTCAGTCCATACCTATGTCTCATTCCCCCATGGACTCTAGACCTGTGAGTGTTGAGCCTTCAGCAATGCATGCATACGAGCAGGCTCACTCTGCTGGGTTGATAGATGCCCAGGACTCTGCTCAGTTCCAGTTGGATTTCTCAGGGCAGCCTTTCCTGGAACAGTTGGTTAGTGTCCATGCTCCACTCACTGTCCATTCAGGCAGTTATGGTCAGAGTGCTGAGAATGGAGAAGTTGTCTTCACAACTTTGGTCTCACCTGCAGACAGCGCAAGGCTTCATCAGCATCACGACTCAGCCAGTAATGATGGCTTCAGGCCTACTTACCATGGTGAGGCTGTTCATGAAATAAGGCCTATAGGCTCCATAGGAGGCCATCTTGGAATGGAGGATGTTACCTTTAATGCCTTTTTTGATAACCAAAGAGAATTAGACACAGACGATACCATGAGCATTCACCAAGGCTCACACTCAACACCTGAGTCTGATAAAATGAGCCTGACATTTGTGCCACGTGTTGTTGAAGATGATGAGTTAAGTCACTTCACTCAACCTGGTCTAGCCCAACCTGTCATGGTTAAAAAGGAGATCCATGAACCTAAGCCCCAGCCTAAAGACTCCTTCCAGAACTCTTTCTTAAGCTACTTACAAGGTCATAAGCAGGAGACCCTGTCCAGTGTTTCTTCCTCTGCTGTTACCAAAAAACCCCAGCTTCCTAAATACATCCCAGAACCACGACGTCCAAAGCCTGTCCAGCCCCCGAGAGAAAGCTTAAACTTATCTGATGCTGAAGACAGCACCAGCAAATTCAAAGACTCTTCCATGTTCAGTGACAATGACTCCTCTCACAAAAGTGAGAGCGACAGAGAAGGTTATTCCGTTCAGAGAACTAGTGAACTTGCAGTCAAAATCACTTTGCCAAAGAATAAGAAAAAAAATAGGTTCGGGCCTTTCGCTGAATCTTCATTACTTAAAGATAGCATGCGCAAAAATAAGGAGAGTGCATCAAAACGTAAAAGGAAAAAAGGCAAGCACAGAGTGGGTTCAGAAGGTGAGGATTTATGGCCTGCCGATGGATCAGATGATGACATGCCCTCAAGACCAGAAGTTGTTAGAGAATCTACCCCACCTCCAGTCAGAACATCCATTGGCAGAAAAGCCAAAGAAAAATGCATAGAAAAGACTACAAAACACAGTAAGTTTTACCTTGATGTAAACAACTTAACTTACTGTAACTGTTTCTTTTATTTAGTAAACAGCCAGATCCTGAATATTTGTTTTGATATTGATGATTATACTATTTAGAAAAATCAATAATGAAATCTCTACTTAGAATTATAGGGTCAACTAAACAATTTCAAATCTTAATTTTCAGGATCTTGAAGAAAAATCTATAAATATAATAAATGGTCTATTATTTTTTTCTTTAACTCTGTAATTCCATTGCTCAGTACTCAGAAAGCTAAATTATATATTATAGCTCTTTTAAAAGTGTATAATCATTTGGATGTACACTCTAAGAATATAAATTATAATGAAGATGTAAAAACTAATTTCATATTTAGTTGTTTTTTTTTTTTTTTTTTTTACATTTTAAATTTACAATTTGATTTTTGGTAAAATTAAAAGATTTAATTGACAGAACTATTCAATCCATTTTAGTTAGCTAGCTCAGGCTCACCTTTATGGCAAGCAATAACTTGTGTTTCAGGTAAACATTCTGGATCAGAGAGTAGTTCAGATGATGACTTGTTGCCTTTTAAAGGGAAAAAAGCCACTAAAAGTGATGATTCAGATAAAAATTATGATTCTGATAAAGACCCTGTATGGATGCCATTTGATGTTGTAAGACGCTGTTACTATTTTTACCATTAATCAGTAGTTCATCAAAACTTTAAAATATATTACTATGCAGAGGCTAATACTGTTTATTACTTTCAGTAAGAATAAAAATCATGATAATTAGAAATAGGAAACAGTTAATTTAGAAATAGGCAAGAATATGAGAAAATGTTGAACCAAAACAGTTAAAAACCAACTTCTAATATTTGTTTAATTTTTTGCAAGGATCTTAAACAAGGGCATGAATTTGATGAAAAAAGAAAAAAGGCTAAGTATGTTGATTTATTTTTAACTACATTAATCATATTCATCATATAAATATTCTTATTAATTCCATAAATTTTCATTCCTTTGACCGTGAAGTATGAAGTAATCATTTATAAGTTTTGTTTAACACACTAAACAGTTTGTAGCTAAATGGTATTGGTATGAGAAGGGCTGTCCCTTGGTGGCTTGATGGTATGCTTTACTTGCAGTGTATGCTGTCAACTTGATACCTTGGTTTTTACTTTCTCGTATATACGAAGTATAGAGAAAGTATTGTAATCGTGCAAAAAAAAAAATCGAGATTTTTACAGATCTCGACGTTTTACACCTCACTGATACGGAAAAACATAATTTTGCAATCTTGTCCGTATGTCTGTGTGTGTGTGTGTCTGTGTGTGTGTCCGTGTGTAAACACGATAACTTGAGTACCGTTACAGCTAGGTTGATGAAATTTCACATATAAGTATTATATCAAAATCGTAGATCCGTATCAACTTTTGAGCGATTTCCGATAACCGGAAGTGGTACTTTTCCTACTTTGAATTTTTCAAAAGCCTATAACTTGAGTACTATTTCAGATAGATAAATGAAATTTCACATGTAAGTAAAAGATCTAATTCTCTACCTTCTGTTAAATTTTGAGTAATTTCCGTTGACTGGAAGTAGTAATTTACGCTACTTCCGATTTCTCAAAAAACTAATGTAAATTTTAAAAGTACTAATAATATTGCGCACTATTATGCGCTTTTTTATTGGGCGTTCACTTGGTGTGCAATTAATTTGTCTACGAGATTTTATTCTATTTTTAAAACTTTAAATATTTAAAATGGATTAAAAATCATGTCTATAGCCCGAGTTCCCATCCCCTGTTATATTATATAAGAATATTCGAGAAAGTTTAGGGGAGATCACTCCCGGTTTATTTAAATTGGGAAACAAACTTTTTTTTTCTTACCTTTTGTTTTTGAATAACATGACTGCAGTGGTTGTTAGAAGATGTAAACAGGATGTTTTTTGTTAATCATACACAGGCTTGCTAGATTGTTTAATGTTTTTCCTGACAATTGTTTTATACATGTTATTTAGGTAGTTTTTTTTCTGACTTGAAAGATGTGTTATACTTTTTAACACTTGTTATTTAGGCAGTTTTTCCTGACTTAAAATATATTTTATACTATTAAAAACTTGTTATTTAGACGGCGTGTTCGAACTTCAAGCACAAGATCTAACAAATCTGCACATAGAGTGCATCACTCCTCTGCTCCTAGTCACAACTCAGTTGCTGGCACTCCAACTGTTGTTAACCCCTGCAAGCCCCAGGGAGAATCTTCACTTGGGAACTCTGAGTTTAAGGTTAGGTTTATATTTTTAATGTAAATGTAATACAACATTGGTTAGTTTATGGTGGGCCATTCTTAAACTGTTAATATACAGTAATGCTTATGTTGTCTAATGGATAAATGTGGGTTGTTAAGAAAATGAACTGATTCTATTTAAAACATTACATAAGTTATACATAGTCGTTTTGTAAATGTATTTTGTGCTTTGAAACTGTAGGTTGGCATGTTTGTGATTGAAAAAAAAGACAAGCTCAGCTTTGATAGCTACCCAATCTGGCGAATAGAACCTGATAGGATACGCAAGTTTGAGTACAGGAGCTTTGGGGACACAGTGCAACATGTGGCTGTTGAAACAGTACGTGTTTTTGTATTTGATGTTTACAGCAATTGTTCTTATTATTGTCCCGTCCCCCCTCTCTTTTCCACTGTGGGGGGGGGGGGGGGGAAGGGGGGGTTGTAGCAACTCTCATTTGCCCAATAACTAGTTAGAGCTAAGTTAGACTGCACAGAAATTTATTTTCCTAACAAAACCTATTCAATTAAACCAAAACAAATTATGAACCTTTAAGCTTGACCTAGGCTTCATACCATATATTGAGGAAAAGCTGTATTGTTTAGAAAAGATTGCATGAAATGAAAAGAATTAAAGTCTTAAGAGATTTTCAAACATTTGAAGCACTTTGGTTTAGAATTTGGTTAACACTACTGTTTGCTATATAGCAGGTGTATAGTTTATTAGTATCTACTATAAGAAACTAATAACACATCCAGCATGCTAAAATAAATTAAACTCAGTGTGTGTTAGGTAGGCAAGCCCCCCCTGTGACACAGACAACAGACACTCATGCTCATGATAAAACACCTGTTACATCTCTAGCTCATCCACACATGATGCATTGGGTGTTATTGTTACAGTAACACTGATTAATGTCTCATTGGTTGTAAGCTTTCAGCTGGAAATATTGAATATTACTGAATAAGTATTACAAATTTAATATTTGCTCAAAAAAAAAAAAATGTGTGTACAATAATGTAATGAAAGTACAAAACTTAGTGTAAGATTCAGTTTGTGTTGTTATTATGTGTTTGGGATAATTCCAATTTTGGATCCCTCATTAGAACTGTGCTTATATAAGAGTTACAATTATGATTAATAAATTATTTAAAGATGTTTAAAATGTATGTATTATGTTTTGGTTTTCAGTTAGGTTTAGTGTTATCTAAAGGTTTTAATTAAGAGTGTGGTTAGTTGTTAGGTTTGCATTTAAAATTGGCATTGAGTATAGTCTGTCTTTGACTTTGCTTGGGGTTGATAAAATGAGATTTGGAGACGAGTTGGCCAAGGCTTAACTTTTAAATGCTGATATATTACTTCAGCATCACAGTATTTTTACTTTCTCATATATACGAAGTATAGAGAATGTCTTGTAATCGTGCAAAAAAAAACCATATTTTTGCAAATCTCGACGTTTTAGGGCTCCCTGAGTAAAAAAAATATAGTATTGCAATCTTGTCCGTATGTGTGTGTGTGTGTAAACACGATAACTTGAGTACCGTTACAGCTAGGTTGATGAAATTTCATAAATAAGTATTATATCAAAATCGTAGATCCATATCAACTTTTGAGCGATTTCCGATAACTGGAAGTGGAACTTTTTCTACTTTGAATTTTTCCAAAGCCTATAACTTGAGTACTATTTCAGATAGATAAATGAAATTTCAAATGTAAGTAAAAGTTCTAATTCTCTGCCTTCTATCAAATTTTGAGTGATTTCCGTCGACCGGAAGAAGTAACTTACGCTATTTTTGATTTCTCAAAAAAAAAAAAAAACCGCATGTGAATTTATAAAGTACTAATAATATCCCGCATTATTATGCACATTTTATTTGGCGTTCACTTGGTGTGCAATTCTTTTTTTTATGAGATTCTATTCTATTATAAAAAGTTTAAGTAATTAAAAATGGCTTAAAAATATTGTCTATGTCCCGAGTTGCCATCCACCATAATGTTATATTAGAATATTCGAGAAAGTTGAGGGGAGATCACTCCCGGGTTTATTTACTGAGAGACTCTGCATTGACAAATATATTGGATTAGCTTCTGTTAGGCTAAAGTTGTAACAATGGGCTTAATTTTTCTTGCCTTCATGTGTAACACTTTGTCACAAGATTGTTAACTAACTTTTTATCTGAACTAATAATTCTATTCATACTTACAGTACACCACATGGATGAAGTCTATGGAGAGCCAATTTGAACCTATAAAAGTTCATGAGGTTGAAGGGGTGAAAAATTCTGAACTTTTAACTGTCAAGGTGCTGGATGAGTGCAGACCCAAACCTCAGAGTGATAGAAGGTAGCTTCAATAATTAGATGCCACAGTTTGTTATCGACAGCACACACACACACACACACACATCTAAAGCAGTAATGTAATGTGTTAGAAGGTAGCTTCAGTAATTAGATGCCACAGTTTGTTATCGACAGCACACACACACACACACATCTAAAGCAGTAATGTAATGTGTTAGAAGGTAGCTTCAGTAATTAGATGCCACAGTTTGTTATTGACAGCACACACACACACACACTTCTAGAGCAGTAATGTAATGTGTTAGAAGGTAGCTTCAGTAATTAGATGCCACAGTTTGTTATTGACAGCACACACACACACACACTTCTAGAGCAGTAATGTAATGTGATAGAAGGTAGCTTCAGTAATTAGATGCTACAGTTTGTTATTGACAGCACACACACACACACACTTCTAGAGCAGTAATGTAATGTGTTAGAAGGTAGCTTCAGTAATTAGATGCCACAGTTTGTTATTGACAGCACACACACACACTTCTAGAGCAGTAATGTAATGTGATAGAAGGTAGCTTCAGTAATTAGATGCTACAGTTTGTTATTGACAGCACACACACACACACACACACACACTTCTAGAGCAGTAATGTAAGGTGATAGAAGGTAGCTTCAGTAATTAGATGCCACAGTTTGTTATCGACAGCACACACACACACACACACATCTAAAGCAGTAATGTAATGTGTTAGAAGGTAGCTTCAGTAATTAGATGCCACAGTTTGTTATCGACAGCACACACACACACACATCTAAAGCAGTAATGTAATGTGTTAGAAGGTAGCTTCAGTAATTAGATGCCACAGTTTGTTATTGACAGCACACACACACACACACACTTCTAGAGCAGTAATGTAATGTGTTAGAAGGTAGCTTCAGTAATTAGATGCCACAGTTTGTTATTGACAGCACACACACACACACACACTTCTAGAGCAGTAATGTAATGTGATAGAAGGTAGCTTCAGTAATTAGATGCTACAGTTTGTTATTGACAGCACACACACACACACACTTCTAGAGCAGTAATGTAATGTGATAGAAGGTAGCTTCAGTAATTAGATGCCACAGTTTGTTATTGACAGCACACACACACTTCTAGAGCAGTAATGTAATGTGATAGAAGGTAGCTTCAGTAATTAGATGCTACAGTTTGTTATTGACAGCACACACACACACACACACACACACACACTTCTAGAGCAGTAATGTAAGGTGATAGAAGGTAGCTTCAGTAATTAGATGCCACAGTTTGTTATTGACAGCACATACACACACACTTCTAGAGCAGTAATGTAATGTGATAGAAGGTAGCTTCAGTAATTAGATGCCACAGTTTGTTATTGACAGCACACACACATACTTCTAGCGCAGTAATAATAGAGATCGATGTCTGTTAGCTCTAGCATCAATGTTAATTTTCTCACTCATGTTTTCTTCCCTGAGATGTACCCAGCCAGATACAACATTGGTTATTGTAGTTTTTAATAGTACTCAATCCCACTTGTGTTGTTTCTGGATTAAAAAGTAATATTCAATCCATGGAATTGATTTTGTGTTCTCCCACCCATTAGACTGGAGACAGAGTATGAAGATGACCCACTGATTGAAACCTTCAATGTTTACCTCCAAGTGTTCCTGAGTCAAGCATTGGAGCCTAACTTTCTTTCTGTCATTCTCAACACTCAGGGTAGGTGGATCACATTTGCTTTCTGTCACTGGTCAATCTATTCTTGTCAAGTTTTATATGTGTATTTATTAATTCATGATGTGTTGTTTATTTCCAAAGAAAAATTTTATATTGATGCCCTCAATCTGATTGATGACATGATTGAAGCTAAATGTAAAGAAATAACAAGACTAGCACACTGGAAGTTAACTTTTTTGGTGGGTTCATTTTACTATTTTGTCATGAAATATTATTAAAGAAAGTATTAGTTATTCTAGGAATTGTAATATTTAGTCAATCTTATATGCATATCCACGTTTTGTCATATTATTCTTTACGGACTGACCTGCGACGTAGCATACGCCGCTATTTACCCAGCTCTACGATTGTAAACAGCTCACCAGACTGGTGGGGGTGGTCTGGAGAGCGAGGGAGGGGGAGAAACGGTGTGCCTATGTGGTGGTGTCCCACATGGTCTCTCCATGGAGAGAATTATATACGTAGATTATTTTTATTTTATAGATCAAAGTAACATTACTAGTATTATAACACCACTAGATGTATTCAAAACAAAATGTTCTTATATTTTGATCCAGTTAACAACTATTCTGTATATTTTGTCCGAATTCCTGAGTTAAAATCAATTACCTCTGTTGCCATTAGGAGTGCCTCCACAGATGTCCTTTGATGAAAGAAATAGACCGTCCCAACCTTAAACAACCCTGTCAGGTAACTGATACTCCTCTAGTGTGTGCTCAAAGTTTAATAAATGGATTATTCAATTTGTTGTTTGTTTTGTTTCTGACAAGGTATAGGTTGTGGTTAAGTATTTTTTTTTTATCGAAAAAAAAAAAGAAACTTAAGCAAGTTAGACTTACACTTGCAATACTTACATTGTTGATGATAACATCTGTAATGTTGTATCTTTAAATACACCAGGCCAGTGAAAACTCCAGTCCTCCAACTATAAAGTCTGTGATTCTCAGTGGAAACCCTTATGACAGGTTCTTATTAACAGAACAGCCACAACACAGATCTGAAGCTGCTTCAGTGAGTTTTTATAAGGCTTTGATTTAGTCAACAAACTCCGGTTGACCTTATGTGTGTGTGTGGCAAATCTTCAAACTCATACATGCTCAATCCAAACATTTAATACTCAATCTAAAAATGCATCTAAATTCTACAACATGAAAAGCTAAAATGTTGACCTACTATTTTAATTTTTTTAATACAAGAATTACTTATGAGAAGAAAAAATTAAATTCAAACCTTTATAATAAAGAGCATAAAATGCAGCGTAATTTTTTTTTTAAACCTGCTTACTTTAGTAAAAAGAATTTTGCAAACATGAAATGTCTTACATATTTTAGTGACCAGTGCTTTTACTTAAGTAAGTTTGTTTATTTTTTTATTTTCGGTGCATTTAATGTTCATTATGATGTAGGTTTTTGTATTTGTTTTATTCTATCTGTTTTAGAAGGGTTTCTGAGTTTATTTTTCAGAGATTTAAAACCTACATTAGTAATACTTCACTTATTTACAATGCTAACATTGATTATCACTAAAGATTTAGTAGATTAACAATATTCATGTTCAACATGTTTACCAAAAACCACTTTTAAAGATACTTGTCTAAAATTGAATATGTTACTACTAAAATATTGTACTGGATTCTAACACCACCAGCTATATATCTACCTTCAGGAGTTCATGATTGGCAAAGTTGCAGCCTACTATGTCAGGACATATCATTCTCTGTATCATTTTAAGTACTGGCTTAATCAGCGTTGTGATGCCAAGGTAACTATACAACATTCACATTTTTTAGACTTTTTAAAATTTATCTGTCCAACAGTCTGTATTTGTTGGACTTCAGGCCTTTTAAATTAATGTTATACGTCAAGATTTAATCATTTTGTCAGAAAAGTTGTGTTTACATATAAACTTTGTTAGTTTGCGTTTGTTAATAGAAATAAAATGATAAATTAAAAGCCTTTTCTTTTTTGTCCCTGAAGGTGAAGACAATGAAAGAAAGCAACAAGCTAGAGAATATAAGCAATGAGTTTATTTTAGACAAGTGCTTAGAGAACAGCTCCTGGGTCTTACAGGTAGATTTTTTTCTCTGAATTTCAGTATTTATAGAACTAGTTTCAATCAATTCAGAATGAATTTCAGTATTTTTTAAACTATTTTCAATCAATTCAGAAGAAATTTCAGTATTTATAGAACTATTTTCAATCAATTCAGAATGAATTTCAGATCTAAAATATTTACTTTCATTTTGCAGTCATTCGACAATTTGAAAAATTTGCTCAAGTATGGTGGAGAGGCACCACGATGAATGGCGTGATGCTTCCAGTGTTTCACATCAAGTGATTTACTATATGCAGAGTTGTTTTTTATAGTAATTTTATATCTAAAAATTCTAGTCCAAATTTTTTTATTCAATGAAATGTTTTTTTTAACCAATTTAGCTATTAAATTGGAATGAAATGGTTTCTCATTTTAAATGTATGATATTTATTAAAGAAGAAACAATAGCAAGTGCTAAAGCAAATGCTGTGAAACAAACTTCAAGAATAATCAGAAACACTACATGTAGATTGGCTTAGTACTGTTGAAGTCAAAGATGCATAGAGAACTTAAAGAAAAATCATGGCCAGTTTCTAACTATTAAGGCTTTGGAAAGGGTTCTTAAACATTAACATATTTTTAAAATATTTTCATCTAGTTAAATCAGTAGGCTAACCTGTTAAAAATTTTTTTTTAATTTTGAAGTTGTTACCATTTTGTCAATGTTAATACCAAAATTGAAGTAAACGAGAAAAGTGTTTTTAATATCATTGATTTGATATTGCCATGACTGTACTTACAACATGTAGAGAAAGCAAAGAATACCTTGTGGGATTACTCTTTGTTTCCTTGAACAGATATCGGGGGGGGGGGGGGTGTAGTAAAGAAAAATGACATGGAGGTCAGATGGCTCCTCTGTGTTGACCCATGAACCCCACCTCATTTAGTTCAGCAGATGATCTATTTTTTTTTGTTACTCTCAAAGTGGTATTCCATTGTTGCTTTATGCTTGAGTTACTAAGAAATGCTGAACTGATTCCAGCACTCCATGCCTTACCTATAAATAGTTGTACGTGCTCTAGTAAAGTTAGCTCCATGTTTCTTGTGAAAACTCCAGCTGTTGGTTTTAATATCTCAGTAGTTATTTGGAAGGGGTGGTAGCGCTTGATAATTCTAACAGTGGCTCTCACTGTTTACATGCACCAGATCTATTGATGTTATGTTTTTAACAACTTGTGTCATTGTTATCCTGTATTTTTCTCACTTTATGTATGCTTGTGTTTTCTAAAGCAGTGTAGTGGAACCATATCTGTACCATTGCTTTTTAAATGGCCAAAACCAATTAATTGGAAAAGTTATTGTCTTAATCAGTTGATTTTTTTAAAATTGTAAATATAACAAATAGTTTATTTCAAAAAAAGTTTTTTGTTATTACCATGCAATGAATTGTTCCTTCATAATATTTCACTGTACCTCTCACATTAGGCATATAACTGTTTTTATAGTTAACCACCACTAATAGGCAGGAACTCTTGTTAAAAAGCAATTAAAATACTGATTCATTTTTGCATTATTCATTTATTATAAAAAAAATTCGCAGCATAATGATTTTATAATAATGTTGATTATTATCCAAGAGGATGTAAAATACAAGTTTTCATCATTCTTTCATTGCATTTTATTGATAATCTATACCAAGATTTAATGAAATCTACATGTGAACATATACAAAGTACAGACATGAAATATGTAGTGCTGGAGACAGACCATGAAACAATTTGTAGTAATATGTTAGACAAAGTTGTTTTTTTTATCTTGAATGTATAGACATTCTTCACTGGCACTATATTATTAAAACTTTGTACATAAAACTGGGTATTTATCTTTCACACCTGTGTTATTCTATTAGCAACAAGCCTTTTGTAAAGGTATTTATTGTATAGTATCATTTAAATTGTATATATATTAAGTAAGAACATAATGCTTTCAATTGAATGTTGAGTATTGAAACTTACAGAATATATTGTTTACATCTCAACCCCACCTCCTGACAGTGTTCTGCGTAGATGACCCTGTTGTAAACTAATGCCCAGTGGTAGTATGTGTTAATGATATATATAGTATTGTGTTGTGTGTTCAAGGTTGGATCCTTCTTCTAGTGTCAGTCTAAAAGGGATGTAATAGCCTATTTATTTTATGTTACTCAGTTTTATCACTGAGATCACTACAAAATGTTATGGGTATCCAAAAGAAGTTTAAGTTGGACAAAGTGAGAACTAATTTAAAAGCAAACAGTAGACTTGTATTTGTGGTTTCTATATTTTTAGGTGCTCTTGATATGCAGTATTTGACAGAGAATTAAGTTTTAATGGTTTCTGCTCTGATCAGTTGTGCCAAATCAATTTTTAATTAATCCTTTATCATTAAAAAAAATTTCACATAATGAATTATTTATGAAGAAATTTTCTGATTTTAAAAATAGTCATATTATTTTTCTTTTTTATTATCACATAGGATAGTGAACTGTTTGCAGTTTTTTTTATCATTCACAAAAAGCAAGAAGTGTGTATGTAAATAGTTATGTGTTATTTTTATTTGACTGTATTCCAGCGTACATGTAAAATGTATCACACATGAATAAGAAGACCGATGCCTTGATGAAAACTCTCCTAATATATATAGTCATAGGGTTACTGTGATATTGAACCATTACATTCTAGTTTCAACTATCTTCTATTATTTTTTTAAAACTAATTTGAGAGTTCTGGAATGGCTATCATTTGCCTAGGTTTATAAATAAGTAAAAGTTTAAAATTCTATTTGTTCATTTGGTGCGTGGTGGTTCTCTAAGTGCTTTTATTTTTAGAAATGAATTTTTCTATCGTCTTTTCATCATTTTAAATTATGCAGTAAAAGAAAAATTTGCATTTTACTCATTTACATTTCTCTTTTTAATGCTTTTTATAGCATGGTTCAATGTCCTCTTGTTTTTTTTTTAAATTCCAGTGTTTATTTTACTTCAAATCTAAGAAAGATTTTATTTTATTTATGTGGTAATAAAAGCATGATGTTGATTGTAATGCTTGTAGTTTTTGTTTTCAATGTTTCGCATACAACTTTGAAAAATAGTAACATTGCATTTGTTGTAGAAGTATTTCAAACAGAAAATAATTACTTTAATTGCTACAAACTATCCCAGAATTGTAGATGATTATATAATAAGTTCATAAAAAGCACATTACAAAAGGGCATTTTGTTGATTGTTTTTAAAAAATGAGCTTGTTTTACGTTTTTAGATATTTTAAAATAAAGAATTCATCCAAACTTTTTATGTCAAATTGTGCTCAAAGAAGAAAGGTTTCATGTTGAAATGTAAAATGGTTTATGTAGACCTTTCTATTGCTTACTTCCTCAGGTGGCTGTTATCACAGTTATTTGGGCCATACTGTGTTTCTATGATAACATTTTATAGCAAGATGATTCTGCTCAAAAATGCTTCCTACATGGGATAGTTTAGACAGAAAAGTGCTATACACCTCGGTTACATGCTACTGCAAACATGTCTAGTTCTATAAACAGTTTCTCTTTGTTACATTTTACAAATTATTTTCAAGAAGACATTTGAATATATATGTACTTTCTCAGATTTTTGTATTGTTTTATTTTTGGAGGTTTATATAATTTATAAAAATTGTTCCTGCTTCTAATTACAGTGCTGCACCTAATTTGTTTCATGTCTCATGATGATCATGTGACTCTTGCTTTTTATTTTATTTTGTTGAAAAGTTGTTCAAGTTTCCAGGGGAATTTGTTTTTCTAAATAATTTGTTCATTTTATTTTTTAAAAATTTTCATCTTTTAATTTTAAAATATTTTTTATAAATTAACTATTTAGATAGTTAGCAATGATTTTTTTATTTTTTTTCAAAACAAATATTATAGCTTACAACTTAAATTATCACCTTTCAAATCTGCCTTATAGAAAGTTTAAAGCAAGTAATTCTTCATTCCTCTGTTGTTTTTTCTGGCATATTTCCTACTTGCAAATGTTAAAAAAAAATTAACTATATTTATTAAACGTGATATAAACATTAAAATGTTAAACTTATTTCTTACTTTATTTAGGCTTTTTTTTTAACTTACATTAATTTCTTCCGTGAATAATGTGCTTTGCATTAAACTTTTGGAAGTGTTAGAAAAAGCCAGTTTTTGAAAGTTAGCTGAACTAAGTAACCAATTAAATGTTTTAGCTAGTGGCCAACCTGGCTCTAGTCCAAAGGACTTGCCTTAGTCCAATGGGTACCTGACTCACATTCTCATGTTATGGAAAGGGAAGCCGGCTGAGCCTTGAATTGACCACACTGTCCTTTGATATGCCTAATTGACCACATTGTCCTTTCATATGCCTAGGTCACAGAAACCGGTGAACTCCGCTTCACCAGCCCCTCAGGTCCTAAATGGTATCTTTATTATTTTACTCTCTCGTTAATTGGGGGGGGGGGTATTGTAATCTTAGCAAAAATCAAAATTGATATTTTGACAAATCTTAACCTTTTACACTTCCCTGAGTCATAACAAGCCAGTTTTGCAGTCTTGTGTGTATGTGATATTGTGAACATAACGTTCAGTTAGGTGGACAAAAATTCTTCTTGTAAATCTTACATCTATCTAGTTTTCTCTCAACTAATTTCCAGTAACTGGAATTTGCAGTTACTACATATTATTAAGTACTTAGCCTGCTTAGGCTTACTCATAGCTTCTCAAAAAAAAACAATTTGATATTTCATGTACTCATAAACCAAAGCCAAGCAGTATATATTTTGTTTACACATAAAAAATGTGCAGTTTTTGTACACCAACTTACCAACCATATAGTTCTGGCATAGACGTAACTCAACCAAGCATGTGCAGTTCCTGCATCCACTGCCTGAATGAAAATCGTTTTCATGCACCAACAGCAATTCATAAAAAAATCAAGCTCTAAACAGCAACTTTTTTAAAAAAAATGTGAGTATGTTTTATTAACCCCGTGAAAATCTGTTGCTTAAAGGCTAGCACAGATTTTTAAATGTATGGTATAGGTCTGCGTGATGATTACAGTCAGTGGCGTAGGCAGGGGGGGGGGGGGTAGGGGGATCATAACCCCCCATAGACCCCTCGGTATATATATATAAAGTATAAGGGGGGTGCACATCGAAAGTTTGAGGGGGGGGGGGCAAGTCGAAAGTTTGAGGGGGGTGCAAATCGAAAGTTTGAGGGGGGGGGTGCAAATTTGGACACCCCCACCCCGCTTGAGACGATCCTGGCTACGCCACTGATTGCAGTTGTTTATTTCTAGACATGTATAGTATATATAGGCCTATATATATATTATGTCACAAGTGTAAATTGGTGTAATACTGCTAATAAAGTAATAGGACATGAAATCTTTAGTTGGGCATTCACTCCAGGGGGGGGGAGGGGAATCCAACGAAGGGGTTTTTTTTTTTTAATTTAAAAAAAAGTTGAGAAGTATTGTGTCATTTTATTAATTAGCTTATATCACTTATTACACCTAATAATCACCTATTACAAATTGTAATACTCAATCGTCTATCCCTCGTTTTGACAATATACTGTCCGATTGGCAAGACTTTTATAGAAATAGCGGGCATCAGGCATCAGTGAAAGGGTAGTCCTATGGTGGTTATTAATATTCCCTTAATAAATGTGTGTGATATTTATTTAGTATGGGTAGGGGCATCTTTTAGAGTACTTTTACCCAGATAATTCCTATGCATTATAGGAGCATCTTTAAAGTAATATGCCTAAATTTGTTACACTAATTTTCAAGGGCATTCGTAAAGTAATTATATCCATATTTATTTTTATACACTGTAGGGGCATATTTAAAGTAATCATTCGTATATTCATTAAATTATATGTTAAGGGCATCCAGTAATATACCCACTTCACTTTAAAATACATTTTGAAGGCATCCATATAGTAAGTATGCCCATCTTCATTTTGTATACTGTAACAACATCTTGAAAGTAATTATGCTTATATTCATTTAATTCATTCGAAGGGAATCCAACAGTAATTATACCCATCATCATAGTATCTAACGTTGGGGGCATCTCTAGAGCTTTTATGTACATGTTTACTATAATACATTTTAAGGGCTTCGAAAGCCCATACTACTGTTTGTGTTAAATATCTGTTTTATTACTAATTGAATCAGCCTCACTGCAGCTACCATTTGTATTTGTGTTAAATTGTAGGGGCATCCTTAAGAATTTATTCATTTTGATGCATTATATGAGCATACTTAATAAGTCACCATTAGTGGACAGAAGGCGTTACATGGGTATTAAATTTGGGGGAAAACGTCCAAGTACATTGTAAGGACATCCTCAAGAATAAACATCAACTTATTGTTTTTGATACATTGTAGTAATATCATTCAGAGTAATTGTGCCCATATTGATTTTTTATGAATAGTAGGGGCATGCTTTAAGTTAAGTAGTGTTAAAGTTAAAGTATTTTAATTCTTGGTAGAGCTATCGCTAGAGGGTACATAATATAGACCCAGTTTTATTTCAAATAATAGTAGAGCATGCATCTGTAGAGTATTTGAGCTCAAAATGGTGTAATGAAATGTGGTGGTGGTTCAGGCCATGGTCACCATTAGTCAGTAGCCTAGCGAGGGCGGGGGGGGGGGACATATGTACCCGGGCGCCGACCTTAGGAGGCGCCAAAATGGGTTGGAAAAATAAATTGAAAGGTTGAGGGGGTGCAAATCGAAAGTTTGAGGGGGGGGGGGGTGCAAATCAAAAGTTTGAGTGGGGGGGGGGGGGGGGTGCAAATCAAAATCTTGAGGGGGTGCAAATCGAAATCTTTGTCCCCGGGCACCGGGAAGGGTCGCTACGCCTCTGCCATTAGTAGATCCCCCCCCTGAACTGGAAAAAGGCGTTACATGGGTGATAAATTTGGGAGAAAACGTCCAAGTTGCAAGTAAGGTCTGACATAGCGAAGTGGGTGGTTAGACACGCCCGATGTAGAAGTGGTTTTCTTTTTAAAGTATTAAGGTGTGGTACGGCTTGCATCTCTAGCCGACCTAGGTTCACTTCTGTAGTATTCAAGATTTAAATTTTTTTAGAGTACCTCGCATCACATCTCCTTAAAGAATTGACCTTTTGACCTAGTGGTTTAGAGATAAAAATGCGAAACATCTCTAGTTCAAGGCGCACTATCACCTGTATTAATTGCACAATAGGAATTCCCAAACAGGCCAAGAGAGAAGCCTATAAATAAAGGCCTTACCGCTGTACCGCAAGGTAATACAAAACCGGATGAGACTCTATTGTATTTAACCCCCCGCCTCCCCACACACACCCGACATGTCCCCCAACTGTCACCCAGCCCCGAAGTTTCACTCATTAAAACAAGTGAGTTGTCCATTCCTAGGGCTTTAGCCGTAGTCAATGTTTTTATCTTGCTAAGTACAATTTTTACTTTCTCGTATATACGAAGTATAGAGAAAGTCTTGTAATCGTGCAAAAAAAAAAAATCGAGATTTTTACAAATCTCGACGTTTTACATCTCACTGATACGGAAAAACATAATTTTGCAATTATAATAGATTGACGACAGAAGCCTGTGGTTGTATATAACACATTTATTGGGTCTAACTACATCACGATGGAAACACACAGAGAGGACGGAAGGAAGTACACAAGGGACATCACTCAAGATAACAATATTATAAATATAACTAATACAGAAGAGTGAGTTCCCTTGACCTCACAATTATTTCAATCTATTACATCCCTTTACCCTTAGAACACAATAACACATCTCTCAATAGAACAATTGATAGTATCCTAAAATCACCAATTATATTGTAACATGAACACTATGGTAGATTACATCCTTACAAACAATGCACAATATGCTACAACATAATCAAAATACAAAACAATAATGTCAAAGTCCTTTTGACCTTTAAAATCATAGGTCTAACTTATTTGGGACTTTGATTGTCCTGTTTGACCTTCTCAGTGGCCTTTGATTTGGTGACTCAATATTCTGACCATTTGGATTCTCTATCTCAGGAGGTCTAGGATTTAAATCATTAACTCCAGAATTTACATTTTCTGACTCCAGACAACTTGGTTCACTCATATCAACAGAACTTGGTTGTGGAACAAACTGAGTTGGTGTGAACTGATCAGATTTGGTGGGATTGACAGATTCACACTTATTATCTGCACAAGTTATTTTTAACTTTATAAGACACAGGTCCTGTACATTGAACAATTTGACCTGGTATCCATTTTTCCTTTCTCCCATAATTTCTTAGATACACATTCTTATTAACACCAAATTCTCTTTCAATGAATGTTTGTCATGATTTAATGGAACTATTTTTGAATTGGCATCTGAAAGTATTATGCTGTTATTCAGATCCTTGACTGACATAGATTTCTTTGATTGATTAATTTCCTCAGGTAACCTGATAGTGCTTTTTGGTAACCAAAAATACTGTTTAAAAGTAATATTCTGGACCATATCACTTTGCAACTGTGATCCAGTATTTGAAGTGGGTGTATTAAATGGCAAAAATCTTTTTTTCTTTTCTTTTGATGTTACCCTTTTAGTTTCTGTAAGTGCTAATGATGTTAGCAAAGTTGTTTGATGATCACATTCCTTCTTACTAATGTATTCTCTTTAAAACATTTGAAATTGCCATATCACCATAATCATTTATTAAGTTACAAATACTTTGTTTAGGCAACTCTGACTGATAATGGACTGCATCTTCTCCATCTTTTATATTATCTTCACAAAAGTTTTTATTTCTTATTTAATATGGCTTTAAGTCCTCATTCACAGACTCTTCAGGCCAACCATTCTTACAGTACTCATATACTTTTATTAAGCACTCATCTTTTTGTGTTTCTCTTTTACTATCATTCACATTTATATTGGAGTTATCCATGATAGTGAAGAGAACAAATACATCTTCTGGTACATAGCTCAGGCTCTGGTTTTTTAAAGGTAATCTACTAAGACTATCTGCACTATTCTTAGATCCAGGTTTGTATTTCAATTCATAATTGTATGCAGTTAGTGTGATAGCCCATCTTTGAATCCTTGGTGAGGCATGCTCAGGTAGGGTTTTGTTTTCTCCAAATAAACCTAGCAATGGTTTATGATCTGTAAAGATGGTGAACTTCCTACCAAACAGAAACTTATGAAATTTCTTAACACCAAAAATGATGCCTAAGCCTTCCCTATCTAACTGAGAATAATTTTTCTCAGCCTGGTTCAAAGATCTACTGGCAAAAGCAATGGGTCTGTCACCCTTCTCATCCATATGGGACAAGACTGCTCCTACACCATCTGGTGAAGCATCACATGTCAATACAAGTCTTTTCCCTGGGTCATAGTGAGTTAGTAAGGTGTCAGAAGACAAAGCCTCTTTTGCTGTATTAAAAGCAGCTTCTTGTTGTTTACCCCAGTGCCAAGTTGCATTTTTCTGTAGCAGCTTGTACAGTGGTGATAGTTTACCAGACAGATTCCCTATGAACTTTGCATAGTAATTTATCAAGCCCAAAAAAGCTCTTAGTTGTTGGGTATTTTCAGGTTTGGGTGCTTCTTTAATGGCTTTTGTTTTCTCAGGTTGAGGTCTGATGCCTTGTTTGCTCAATATATAACCAAGAAAACTAATTTCTGTCAACATGAATTGACATTTATCTTTGTTTATCTTTAAACCTTTTTCACCAACAATTTTCAATACTTTATCAAGTGTTTTAAGATGTTCAGTGTCATTCTTACCAGTTATGTACACATTGTCAAAGTACACACAAACATTTGGAATGTCCTTAAAAATACTGTCCATGACAGCTTGGAAAATTCCAGGGCTAGATGATATGCCAAAACATAGTCTTTCATATTGGTAGAGTCCTTTATGTGTGTTTATTGTCGTATAGACTTTTGAATCTGGATGCAGTTCTAGTTGAGTGTAAGCATGACTAAAGTCTAATTCAGTGAATTTGTCTCCTCCTGCCAAATTCAAAGAAATTTCCTCAATGTTAGGTATAGGGTACCTATTTAGCTCTATTTGCTTATTCAGTGTAGTTTTATAGTCTCCACAAATTCTTATAGAACCATCCTTCTTTAACACTGGCACAATGGGTGTCGCCCAATCGGAATAGTCTACCTTCTTTATAATGCCATTAGATTCCAATCTACTTAGCTCATTTTCAATTTTATTCCTCATTGCATAAGGTGGAACTCTAGCTTTGCAGTATCTTGGATTTGTATCTTTAATGCTTAACTTCACTGTTCTATCATTTAGTAATCCTGAATTACCAAAAACACATTTATTTTCAGATATAACTTTATCTAGTGAAGTAAGACTAGATTCTTTTACATTCTTCAATGAACAAATACTCTCCCAATTTAACTTAAGATCACTTAACCAGTTCCTACCTAGTAATGGCGGTCCATTTCCTTCAACCACAAGAAGAGGAAGTTTAACACTTTGACCATTATAACTTACATGAACCATACACTCTCCTATTACCGGAACATTGTCACCAGTGTATGTTGTTAGACACTTGTGACATGGCTGTAGAGGCACTGATCCTCCTGTGACAGCGTCAAAATCTTTCTTTGTTATGACTGTTAGGGATGCTCCAGTGTCAAGTTGGAAGCTGATGCTCTTACCGTTGATATTAACTAGTACATTGATGGGAGCATGACTTATTGATTTCACAGAGAACAGGTTGAAATCCGGCTGCGAATCAGTTTGAGCATTTTCACAGGTAGAGTGGTTCATTGGTTGGGTTAGGTAGTCTTGGTGAGAGTTAACATAGTGCTGCCTTTGGTTGCGGTACTGTCTTGACTGGCTAGATTTAGCAACAGACGAAGACTTTGCAAAGCAGGCCTTGGCAATGTGACCTTGCTTACCGCACTTATAACAAGTTGCTAACTTGAACTTGCACCGATGAGATGCATGGGGACCTTTGCATCGATGACATTTTTGATAATTATTACTAGATTTAGATCTAGTATTTGAACGAGCAGGCTGTTTAGCATAAGTTGGAATGCTCTGATGGGGTTGATGTTTATCGACTAACCTGCTGTTTACTGCATGGATCCCTGAAGGCGTTAGAGATTTCGCCGCATCTGATGACTGCTGGTATGAAGTTGCAAGTTGTATTGCTTTTTCCAATTTTAGATCTGACTCGAGCAGCAACTTTCTTTGAATATCAGGGCTGTTTACACCTGTCACAAACTTTTCACATAGTCTGTCAGACAGCGTTTCTCCAAATTCACAGAATCTACTTAAATGACGTAAAGCAGCAACATATTCTGATATTGACTCGTTTGGTTGACGAGTCCTACTGTCAAATCTAGCTCTACATAAAAACTTTGATGGGGTAGGCGCATGGTGGTCTGTTAGCAATTTGCTCAGCTCGTTAAAGCTCTTGGTAGTTAGACTAGCTGGTGCGCATAAGTCTTTTAGTAGCCTAAATTGTTGAGGCCCTATGACTGTTAACAAAACAGCTCTCTTTTTGGCTTCTATCGTCACGTCGTTAGCTTCTAGGTAAAAGCTTAACCTCTCTAGGTAATCTTGAATGATTTCATCATTCGCATCAAATTGATTTATTTGGTCATACAGCGCCATAATTCTAGAAATAATTAGCTAATAAGCTCTAGCAAACCTCTTTTTTGCGTAAGTAGGTGCTCTTCTTAGTAGATGTTTATCCTTCGTCGCCAGTTATAATAGATTGACGACAGAAGCCTGTGGTTGTATATAACACATTTATTGGGTCTAACTACATCACGATGGAAACACACAGAGAGGACGGAAGGAAGTACACAAGGGACATCACTCAAGATAACAATATTATAAATATAACTAATACAGAAGAGTGAGTTCCCTTGACCTCACAATTATTTCAATCTATTACAGCAATCTTGTCCTTATGTCTGTGTGTCTGTAAACACGATAACTTGAGTACCGTTAGAGCTAGGTTGATGAAATTTCATATATAATATTATATAAGTATTTTATCAAAATCGTAGATCCGTATCAACTTTTGAGCGATTTCCGATAACCGGAAGTGGTACTTTTCCTACTTTGAATTTTTCAAAAGCCTATAACTTGAGTACTATTTCAGATAGATAAATGAAATTTCACATGTAAGTAAAAAAGTTCTAATTCTCTACCTTCTGTTAAATTTTGAGACATTTTCGTTGACCGGAAGTAGTAATTTACGCTACTTCCGATTTCTCAAAATGACGTCACATCGCAGCCTACACCCCCCCCCCCCATCAAAATTGCAGTTTAATCTATCTTAAACATCGATTTCCGTCTAAAATGAGCTCGGTCAACTGAGTATTTTACTAAATTTCCTTTTTTTTAAATTTCTAAAACTTGAAAGAGCGGATAAAATTCAGTTTCTAACATTAATTACTTTTTAAAATGCAAATATATGTGACGTCACACTATCTGACCCCCCCCCCCCCCCCCCTGACACCTTTATACTTTATACTATTATGGAGGACTATTATAGAGAACTATTCCAATATAACACAAACAAAAAATGTAACATGGCAATTGTCGTGCACTGGTCAGCAATTATTCTCATCAATGTTTACATAACTGATTTCATGGGCTAACTTAATTCTTCAATGCTGACACGAAGAAAGACATTTTTGGAACATTGGGCTCCAGTGGCGTAGCGAGGTCGGGTGTCACCCGGTGCGGCACTTAATGGTGTCACCCCCCCAGAGGCATAGAGACCCTTCCCAGGGACAAAGTTTCAAATTTTCGATTTGCACCCCCCCTCGAGTTTTCGATTTGCACCCCCCCTCAAAATTTCGATTTGCACCCCCCCCCTCGAGTTTTTCTCTATATATTTTGCTATTTTTTGCCTTGGTGTCACCCCCCTAAATGGTGTCACCCGGTGCGGTCCGCACCCCCCGCCCCCCCCCCCCTCGCTACGCCCCTGTTGGGCTCATTTAAAAATGTAACGTGAGATAGCTATAGTTTTCAGGATTGCCAGATTTCTGTTCTGGGGTTCTAGGCCGCCTGCCTTAAAATGTACAAAACAACACCAAAAAAAACTGCGTTTTAAAACTGACCAACAAACATCCACATCAAAATAGTGCATAAAAAATAATAAGGAATTGAATATGTTGAATAAATGAAACTAGCTGAATTACCACCCCCCACTCCATATCAAGATATCAATTTCTTTAAAAAAAACAACAAAAAAACAAACAAACAAACTACAAAGTTAAAAAAAAAATGCAACAAAAAACAACGTAATTTGCTGACAGGCACGACAATATGTAGATCTAGAATCTATGTACATCTGGCAATATAGTGTTAATCACCGTGACGCAATTAGTTGCCTGTTTGTCTCATAGCATACATATAAAATATAGTTTCCCTGCAGTAGGAATTATTGAATAAGAATTTCTTCGTAACCTCATTGATAACATATAAAATAAATATAAAAATACTTTTGCATATTTTATACAATTTAAAGATAGTTTATAATATGATAATATTTAGATAACTAAGAATTTTTTTCTGGCTTTATAAATTCCGGTTCCCGGCAAACTTTTTATTTGAGCAGCATTGGACAGCGTTTTCTCCAAAAAATAGAACGACATTTTAAGTTTAATACCTTGGATATCGACAAGTCAAGCTGAAAGGTAATTTTAAATTCAGAAATTTAACTTAACTCGTTTTGACATCATTTATCGTTCTTATTGCATGTATACTAATTCTTCAAAGTAGCTACCTTATTGTTCTACAAATCCTATTCGATGTCCCACTAAAATCTAGACAAGGCTAAAAATAAAAAATCTAATGTGAGGCCAAAAACCGCGTTAACTGGAGAAGCACTAGCCAAATAAATACGGTAATCTATCGTTCTGGATACGTAAAATCGCCCGCGACTACATTCTAGTAATGTGAAAACAGGTGACTCATTAAATTTTAATAATTATTTCACATTTTGAGGAGGATTTATATTTTGAAAAACACAAAAATGTTTCCTTGTTAGGCCCTAATTTGTTTCATTTATGCACCTGTTTTTAGACAATTGAATTAAAACTTTTCTGTAATAAATGAAGGCAAGCGATGTTTCCAACAGATGCAACCATGCTCATGTACTATAGCAGCCATCTTGTCTAAGTTTTGTTTGTAAACTTTTAGCGCAAGATTCAGGAGGAAGCCACTCTATTATACAAATGGCTGCTGTATAGCAAATCTTACTCGCAAACACTGCTGTTTAAAGTTAATTTCTGACTCATATTGATATATTTAGCCATTGATTTAGGTTTATTATTCATTCATCTACAATATTTGACACAAATATAATACGAAGTGACTACTCGGAAGAAGATTTTTCTCCCCAACGTCTCCACTTAGTCGGCAAAAGATAGCCCTGCGCATGTGCAGTGACCTATGGCTAGGGTTAGGGCTAGAATGATGGTTAGGGGTAGGATTAGAGTTAGGGATAGTGTTAGGGATAGGGTTAGGGATAGGATTAGGGTTGGTGTTAGGGTTCTGCGGTTGTAAACACGCATGCGCAGTACCGTCGAAAACATCGGCGCGTCGTAGTTTCTCTCCATTGCGCATGCGTATCCCATTCCGGCTAGCATCGGCCAATATAATAATATATCACAACATACTTCTATTAAAGCCTTGACAATGAGGTAACTGTTTCGTACACTAGAAGCCGCGGGCAATTTTTCTGCCCCCCTCCTCGGAGAAAGTCTACCACCGCCTCCCCCCCCCCCCCTCCCGCCCCGAACTAAATGAAATTTATATAGAAAATATATAGGCCTTACTTTTAACAGTGTCCGCCCCCTGAAGAAAGCCTAGGCCTATATATATTAAATCTAGATCTGGTAAATTTAAGTTAATCTTTCTAGATATCTAGATCTAGTAGGGCTTACTTAATAACTTAGATTCTAGTAATTAGTATTCTAGTAACCTAAAAAAATACAATAATACTGACTAAAATTGACTAAAATACTGAACTAGATTTAATTTGGAATTAGATCTAGTTCTTAAGTTCTACTGTATACTGTTAGACAGTAAGTGCATCTGACAGTAACTGTAAATTGAATGAAAGAAGAGTCTAGGTAATTCAAATGAAATGTTAGATAATATTTAGGCCTATATATCTTATTTTAAAATATTAAAATTAAAAACTCATGCCTAGATCTAGCTAGGGTTGTTGGTATCTGCTAAGTTTGTGAAAAAAACATGACCCGAAAACTCCCATTACTTTCTGATACTAGGCTCAAGAGATTTGGTTTTGCATATTTATGATTTATTAATTTTTGGTAATTAATTAGGCCTAAGTTTAAAAGGCTGTTTTTACCTATTCATTAAAAAGTAGGCCAATTCTAGCCGGAAAAAGATACATGCGCTATGGAGAGAAACTACGACTTGCCTTCGCGGCGATGTTTTTGATGGTACTGCGCATACGTGTGTTTACAACCGCAGAACCCTATCCCTAGCCATAACCCTAGCTCAGCTATTAAGGTCACTGCGCATGCTCAGAGCTATCTTTTGCCCACCAAATGGAGACACTGGGCCGAAAAATCATTTTCTTAGTAGTCACTTCGTAAAAAGTTAAATGGTTTCCTGTTATTTTCATAGTTTTGCTATGTGATTTTAGGCCCTCTCATGATCTGCATTCCTATACTAAAAAGGCTTATTTCAATTACCATGGAATCTCAATTTATTCAAAGGGTATTGTTTAGTTTTAGATGGAAGTAAGATCCAGATTTGATCTTGTGTACATAAAAATGTTTATTTTTTTATTTGTTGCTTAAATCTTTGAGCTATGTGCTCTAGAAATTCATTACTATATCATTCTGGTCTAAACTCTGCAGTTATGTACAATATACTACAGCAAGTAAGATGAATATGCTCATTTATACAGCTATACCATTACAAATTGGCAAATGTTAAAAAGGTTTATTTTTTACCCCTCAAGAAAAACTTCATAAAAAATTAATTTGAAATAGAAAGAAAATCTGTTTTGTTTTCTCCTGAGGGAGATCTGCAAGATTTTTATATGATATTTATCAAAATTCATACTAGATCTAGATTAATCTAGAATAATAAATGGGCCAGTAGGCCTATTAATATTAAAGTAATAATGGCAAGACATTCATGTAGACATCTGGTCCCTAGTCTAGATCTCTCTAGATCTAGAATAAATCTAGTCTAGACTAGTAAAAACAAAAATATTTAAAATAAGGAACTGAAGGCATCGAAAGGCTAGGCCTAATGGAGGCAGCTTAGTTTGACGGGTTGGGTTCTACCATTATGTTGACCAGGATAGACCTAGACTAGAAGACTAAATTGGAAATGCCTAAATTCTAAATGAATTGTTTTTCTATCTTCTGTTCTTCTAGATCTAGAATCTATTAGTAAAGTTCAATAGGTTATGTATAGCATAGATAAAGTTTATAACTGATTTTAGACTACACCTAATAAATTCATTAAGTTATTAGTAATAGATTCAGTAGTGAGCTCTGTAAAAATATGATTAATAACCTGAAAACTTTTATTATTCTGATAACTGGAATATTAGATATGCGTTTGCATTTGCATCTTATTAATATTTTAGTTTATTGTAAAAAACTAAGTCATTTCCACCAATTAAATGCACTGACTATGGGCTCCTTTCAACTAAGGTCCAGTGCAATCCTAAAATAATTATAATATAAAAACCGACTGATATAAATGCTGTCCGTAATATTACAGATTATGTTAAAATAAATATTTACTCGTGTTTGTACAAATAGATATTGTATGGAGACAGATAATCAAGAGTTAGTGCCCAATGGTGGTGCTGGGGATGGAGTAACCAAAATGGAAGTTAAACAGGAGGATTCGTTCACAAATTTTCAACTTGATGTCAAATCAGAACCTGAACAAGGTATAAAGTATCTCTATTGTCATTTTTTTTTTACTATTAGAACATATTGCCACAAGTTTTAAATTATTAAAATGTGGGGATTCACAAAAACCCAAAGTTTTTGTTTTGAATCACCTTTTTTATGTACATGTGATACCAGTAATAAAACAAATTTGTAATTGGTTGCAGATGAAACTGGAAAATCTGGTCGGCCTGTAAGAAAAAGGAAAGTAAATAGCTTGTATGAAAATTCGGACTTATCTGATGAGGTATTCATTTTTTATTTATGTAAAAAAAACTGCAACTTTTTAAAAACCCTTACCACCATGTGCATACATACTTAGATTACCCTTCCCTCATCACCTGCTGCTTTCAGTTCTATTTTTTATATACTGTTCCAACAGGTAGTTACTATAAAAACAAAACAAAGTATAAGACCTCTTACTGCAACACCATGCATAATGTTTTTTAAATAGAAGAATAATAAACGTTTATTTTTTAAGTAGAGGCATAGTCATGCTGGCTGGCTTACACATGTTGATGCAGATTTAGAACCTTACAATTACACACTACACAATCAGTCCTGGTCACTCATATTTTCTACTTCATTTACATTTCTGTTTATGTAATTCTTGAATTGTCATTTAGTCTTCCTTTGATGTTTAGAACATGACTATTGTGAGCTAAGGGATTAATATTAAAGTAATATCCAGAACTGAAGGAATTGAGAGCAAAAATGTTTTACATTACCAGTTTATTAGTGACAAGAGGTTCAGACTTCAGTTTACATTTTTTTTCTAAAAATGATAAACTTTTATTATAGATTCAAATTAAAAAAACATTTTTATAAACAGGAAACTCCAGTTATAGAAAAACCTAAGCGTGGCAGAGGAGCTTCATCAGCTTCAAAAAGAGGACGGTGAGTGTTTACAATATGATTCAGTATTTGGATTGTTGTGTTCTAAGTGTATAGGGGCCATGAGTTTTTTTAGTGCTTTATAATTTATATGCTTTTGTCTGGTTGGAAAAAATTCTCAGATAATGGATGATCATTCCTCTGTTTGGATCCTATGTATCATATATGATACACTCATTTCAAGGTCGACTAGTGAAATGTTTTTTTAAGGGAATTAACTGAGATAACCAATCTACCGGAATAAACAAATTTTGCTTTCGGGTGTAATGCGGCCATTCAAGCATCAATTACTTCTTTTTTTAAAGACATCCCAAGTTTTTGACATCTTCTGTACTCACCATAACATTAAAATCTATTTCTGTATGAAGGTGAGTTTTGCTATCTGTTTTTTTTATTTCATCAGTGTTTATTAGTTTAAATTTGTATGTTTAATAAACAAAAGCTGTGTAGTTTACTTAAGTGTAACACATATGATACACAAGGAAACCTTGTTTTTGAAGAGGTGTATTTATTTACTTACGTTTTTCTGTCAACCTTATGTAGTAAGGGCAAATAATATACCATTTATGTTATTTTCAATATTTTATTATAATACAGTTTTAACAATTCTATTTTGATCTTTTTTTTTTAGATATACTAAGTCAAGGTATGAAAGCTTTCAAGATATTCTTGATATTTCTCTGGATGGTAGTGAATTAGAATCATCCCCTAATGATGAAGAGTACTTTCCAAGTGACTCTGAGACTGGTGACTCAGATGATCCAGGTGAATCCCAGATACTACAAACCTTTTGGGAGTTGGATGATGACATGTCGTTATCAACAGTGTTTAAGTTGGCCAACACTGAAGAGGATTTTGAGATCTTTTCAAATCAAAGTCAAGACAATTCTTATAGCATCAGTGCAAATCCAACTGGAAGCAAAAGAAAATACAAATGGATTGATAAACCCTTTCAAACCGTCGACACAGTTTTAGATAATGATAAAGAACTAATACATTGTGATTTGAAAACCCCACTGCAATTTTTTAAAACATTAATAACAGATGAAATGTTAGAGAATATTGCAACTCATACAAATATTTACTCATTACAAAATAACGGAGTGGATATAAATGCAACACAAAAAGAAATAGAGACCTTCATAGGAATGTATCTACGAATGGGTATCCTCAGAGCTCATAGGATTCGAGCATATTGGAAGGCAAATACTCGTTATGGTCCAGTTGCTGATAGTATGCCATGTAGAAGATTTGAAAGCTTGTTATCAAATTTATATTTCACTAATAGCGATGGTATCAGTGAGGAACAGAAAAAAGATAAGGTTTGGAAACTACGACCATGGCTGGATGCTCTTCAGGCCAATTTGGACAAAATCCCACCTGAGGAACATCAGTCAGTTGTTCAGATTACTGTCCCGTTTAAAGGAAGGAGTTCAATAAAGCACCACATTCGCAATAAAGCACATCGTTGGGGGCTAGTGTTGTGGGGCAGGTGTGGGGCCTCAGGGATTCTATATCAGTTTGATGTGTACCAGGGTGTGCCTGATGACATATCCCATCTTGGTGCAGCAGGGGATGTCTTCATGAAGATGACATCAAAATTAGAATCTGGGAAAGGATACAAGGTTTTAGGTGATAATTTCTTCACTAGCTTGGCTCTTGTTGAAAAACTAAAGGAAAGATGTATTTATTATGTAGGGACTATTAACTCCAAAAAACTAAAAGGCTGTACTCTTCTGTCAGAAGAAGAGTTGAAAAAAAGAGGAAGAGGATCGTTTGACCAGAAAGTTGAAGCAGCTAGCAACACAGTTGTTGTTCGCTGGTTTGATAATGAAACTCTGGATTTAGTCTCGTCATATGCTGGTATTGAGCCACAGTCACAAGTGTCTTGTTGGGACTCAAAAGAAAAGAAAAAGATAATGGTTAATCACCCGGCTATTGTTCAGGAATATAATAAGTTTATGAGTGGTATCCATCTCCACGATTCATTAACAACCTTGTATAAATACCCAATCAAGTCCAAGCATTGGTACATGTACATATTTTTCCATAGTATATCTATAGCTGTGGTTAATTCTTGGCTTTGCTACAAAAGAAACTGTAATTTATTAGGACAAAAATGTATGAAGTTGAATGACTTTCAAGCAGATGTAGCAACTGGGCTTATAAACTTTAAACGCCCTGTTTCTCAGCTTCCCACTCCAATAAAAACAACAATACGGCATGCAAAATTCAATACTGTTCGCCAGGTTGTGGGTGTCCCCACCGATGATGTCAAATTTGATGGTGTGGACCACTTGCCAGGTTATACAACTAGAGGTCGCTGCAAAGTTAGCAGCTGCAGTGGTTTTTGTCATACAATCTGTTTCAAGTGTGGTGTGAGATTGTGTTTAAACAGGGATAGGAACTGCTTTTGGACTTTTCACAAAATTCAGCAATAAATTGTAAAAGACTTATGTTTGTTGATTTATTTTTTTTCCTCTTCTACCCACATTTTTTTTTTATAATTGACTTGATGTCTTTCTGCTGGTCAGATCCAAACCCTTTGAACTTTATAAACTTACTGAACAGCCTTGCAAATATATTATCTACCTTTGTTTCAACATTTTCCACTGTACTTTAAAATAGTTTTATTTAAAAATAAATTAGTATTTTCATCAAATAAGTTATTTTATATACAATAAAAGACATTAGGCACAGTGTGAGAATTATTACATCACCAATAAATTGAATAAGTGGTTTTTTTTTTTACAGAAAGATTTGTTCAATAATTTGTTGGAAGAACAATTTTTGTCAAAAGTCCATAGTTGTTTTGTCTTTTTTCTCTTCCCATTTCCCTCATCTCAACAGTGCTATCATCATAGGGCTAACGTCTCCTGACACTCTTTTCAGCTGTTCCTGATTCCTTCCTATCCTTTTTGCCTCCTGAGTCGACCTCTGCTTGGCCTTGAGGGTTCCACACCAAGGCCTGTGTGGCTCTATTGCCAGCTTCCTTCCTAATCTTGTGCCCAATCCATCACCTTTCTCTCTCCATAATTTGCCTTATTGTTTCCTTTCCACACATCTTAAGAGTTGTATGATAAACATCAATTAATATACACAGAGTGCAAAGTTAATTTAAAAAGTTTGTAATGAATGACAATAATCTAACTGGTAGTCATACATGTCAATTATTTACCAATCAGTTCTATGGTAGTTGATAAAATGCAAGGATAAGATTATATTACAAATATAATATATATATATATATATATATATATATATAAAATAACAATATAATAATAATAATAATAGTACTGAACAAGCAAAAGGTTTCTAAAGAATTTTGCCTTGTCCTGGCTCAGAGCTACAACTTGAGTGTGTAGTCAGGTTGTTTGTCCTAAAAAATAACTGCTCATGTCAGGCTACGCCCAGGATCAACTAATACCTAGGTCAGACGAGTAGTGGGCTGCATCGCAAGCAGTTGAAGAGGTTGGAAATACAGGCATGGGGGGGGGGGGGGGAGGTCATAAGAGTAAAGCCACTGATAAAGTATACAATTATAGAGCAGATTCTGAATTATTTTTAAATCACTGAGTCTAAAAGTGTAGCATAAAGCATTTGATTGCAACCAAAAAAAAGGCAGATTTTGAAATATTCACCATTTTATAAATAGCGGTAGTTCACTTAAGGTAATTCACGCTGCTGTTACAAACTAGAGATTTGGGGGGGGGGGGGAGAGATAACTTGCGCCCATTTATACATTTATCACATTTACAGTTTCTGTAAATTGATTATTTGGAGTTCCTGTATGAGATTATTTGATGAATTATATTTCCAGTGGAAGAGGCAGAGGCAAATCAGCAGATATGCCTGCTAATATGGCTGATCCTTCTCGTAGTCCCAGAATTGTGTATGTATTTTTCTTTTATTTGTGGTAGTAGAGTTTGTTCATGCTCCACTTTTTAATCAAAAGCCTTTAAAGGGAACATGTTTAATAGCTAAAGAGGGATCTTTTGTCATCAGGCTAAAGAGGGATCTTTTGTCATATCATATGTCTAAAGATCCCCATAAACTAATAACATGGTTCATTTATTTTCTTTTTATAGAAATATATGTTTGTTACCTTTTTAGAGTCAAGCAAATACCATACTAGTAACAAGTTAGTTTATGTTTATAAATAATTTTGCTTTATTTTTGTTATTGTTACAAATTTTATTTTATTAAAATTAAACACGTTTGGTTTTTTTCACCCCAATACTCTGTCATGTGTATAAACATAGTATGTTTGACATTTATTTCTCTCAGCCTTAAAAAGATAGGTGCTGGGTCTGAAGAAACTCTTGCACCGGACCAAATTAAAACTGATGCAGAGACACCAAAACCTACCCGTGGCAGAGGAAGGGGGAGGGGAAGAGGCCGTGGTGCATCAGCAACAAAAAGCACTCCTAAAGTTAAAGCTGAACAAGATGAAGAGGAGGAGGAGGAGGAAGAATTTGAAATGGAAGAAGAGCTGGATGATGAAGACGAGGATGAAGATTTTGTTCCAAAGAAAAAAGCAGGCAAACAAGCAAAGCAAACATTCACAAGAGGAAAGAAGGGCAGACCGAAAAAGACAAAGCCAGTTCCAGAATCTGATCAGGATTTTGAGGAAGATGAAGAAAATGAAGAGGATGAAGAAGATGAAGATGAAGAGAATGGAGCTAATGAAACTGGCGGAGACAATGCCACAGATAGTAATCCAAACTCTGTCAAGGTAATATTTGAAGTTATTCTCCTACATATTTAATGTTACTTATCTAAAATTACATTCATCAAGAATAGATGTACTCAATTTATGTCATTCTATGATATTTATACATTTTTAATTCTTTAGACTGGGCAGTATCTTATTGAAAAAAGTGATACCAGGAGACTTGAAAATTTCCCCATTTGGAGAATGGAAGGACCCAACATGCTTAGAAAATTTGAATTGGTTGTAATTGATGGCAGAGTGAGGCATAGATCCTTGTATGCTGTAAGTTCCTCTTTTAACAAAATTAAATGAATTATTTAGCAATTGTTTAGCTTGCTGAGTTTCTTTAAGTATAACTATTTTGAATTTTCAATAGAGTTCTACTCAATGCTGTAAAAAAAAAATTGTTGTTGTTTATTTATTCTCATTATTTACAACTTCTTCTCTTAGTATTCATCATGGGCTCAGCATATGATAGATCTATATGAAAAGATACAGATTCAACAAATATCTTCACAAGATGGCGAAACAGTAGTAGAAATAAAGGAAGAATGTATGCCTCAGCCACCAACACTTGAAAGGTTTGAGGATAAAAATAATTATATGGAATAGTAACAAGCTCAATAGTGACTAGTTAGTGTATAAATAAGACAAACATTGATTAGTCTCAATTAATTTCAGTCTTCAAGAAAAATTTGCTAACGATGAACTCCTGAACAAATACTACTTCTATATTGAGGCCCTGATTAGACAGGCAGTTGACAATAACTTTTTGAAAAAAATCAAAACTGAAGAAGGTTAGTCTATTTTTTTTCTTACTTACACTATTAGTTTTCATATCTTTTAGAGTTCCATTCTATCATAGAGATATATTTTTTTTTCACAGACATGCAATACATTGAGCCAATCAACTTTATTGACAACATGATAAGAGAAAAAATCACATTCATTGAATCACAAGTTAGCATGAAGGAAGAGTTCAAGGTAAGAAATTATTATAACATGTTGACAGTGGTTTCTGCTCAATAACGCCTGCATTTTCTTGACCATTTTTGAAATATGTAATATTTGCATCTCAAATAGTGATCTTGCTTAGTACACTAGTGTTATTTATTATTCCTAGTTCTGGCAGCTTTTTTTATAGCTAGATAAATTAGTAAGAGCAAATGTATGAATGGAAATATAATAATGGTGATACATCTATCAAATAACACTCAAGTTCTTGTTTATTTTTAGAATCGAGTGAGAAATTGTCCAAACATGAAAAGTATCAAGCGCCAGAATTGGTCACAGACTGACCAGGCTACTACAAATAAAACCAGTGAGAAAGGTGTGCGCTCTGTCCTAATGTTCGGTTATGGATATGACCCTTTTTTCCTGGAGGAGGATAAGTCAAAAGGTGTTGAAGTAGCTCAGGTACGTTAGATATTTGCTTTATTCATATTGATGTTTGTCATGTTTCTTAACACTCTCACTAGAGTAGCAGTTTATTCAATTCATATCCAAGTCTAGAGTAATGTATGTATGTCACAAGTCAACACATTATGTTAGTAATGTTTGCATTTCACAAGTCAACTTGTAATGTTTGTATATTAATTTCACCTATTAACATTTTCAGGAAGTGGTGGTTGGCAGCACTATGGAAGAGTATCTAAGTTCCTATCATGGACTCACCCATTTTAAATTCATTTTGTTAAGAAGATGTCAAGATAAGGTTTGTTTACTTTATGACCTACTCAACTCTGTCATTTTTATCTACCATCCTGACTTAAACTTTTTTAAAAGACCAAAATATGACTGCTCTATAGATTAACTCATTCCCTCCTAAGTCCTCACTTCCAGTTTACAAATCCATTCCTGAACAAAAGGAAGCTACTTCGTTTTTTATAACATGTATTTTAAAAAAAAAATTATTTTACTATCCAATAATTAATCATTTCAATATTACAAAGACGAATGCTCTCAGATAAATATAACAATACTGGCATAACAACATAAAACAAGTTTTAAAAAAAAGGAAAATCAACAAAAAGTGTACATGTAATATTTATTCAACACAAAAAATCACAGCTAGAACCACGTTTTGAAAGTGAACCAAACAAGATAAAAACTTCTGGTTTTTAAAATTGTAATCTTGTGGATTCTCGCCTCTACGTGGTTACCGGTACTAATCTCGGGCATGTAAGATTTCAATATATAGTTGAAAAGTAGGGGGTGTGGCCAGATGCATCAGGCGGAACAGCCAGAGGACGCATTTAGTCACATCCCGCGGGAATGAGTTTAAAGATTGCAAGATAAAACCAACAGTGTTGCTAATTTTTCTATATGCCTGGGCCTGAACATCCACTGAGGGAAAAGTGAAGTTCTCAAAGTCAATGCATCAAACAGCACCCCTTTAACATTGTCAGACAAAGCCCTAGAAGAGGTGGATAGATTCACCTACCTTGGAAGTATTGTTGATAATCAGGGCACAAGGCAAGAACAGTCTTCAACCAACTAAATAATGTTTGGGGGACTGGAGATTTAACCCTTGGAATAAAAATCCTGGCCTTCAACACACTAGAGCTGAGACATTGAGAAAAATTGCAACAAATAAGAAGAAAATATAATAATTTATAAACGCATACCTCTGAAAGATCCTTCAAATACGCTGGCCTAAAACCATTAGGAATGAGGTACTATGGCAATAGACAAATCAACTGCCAGCTGAAGAATAGATCAACCCTACAGAGAAAATGGAAATGGATTGACCACATACTCTGAAAGCCTTGACCCAGCATAACAAGACAGCCCTCACCTGGAATCCACAGGGCAAAAGGGAAAGAGGCAGACCAAGAAAGACCTGGAGATGAGGACCTTGAAGAAGACACCAAGAAGGTTGAATACACCTGGGAACAGTTGGAGAGACTAGCCCAGGACAGAGAGGCCTGGGAAAACTCTTGTCAGCGGCCTAACCTAACCAAACCATAGATTAAAAGAGATTTACTGGTGACATAAAAAGTAGGAAGATTTTTGTATCAACTTGCTAACATGCAGCTTAGCAATGTTAAGAATCACTCATCCAGTTTTTGTGTGGAAAATGTTCCTCAGAGGTGAAAAAAAATCAAGTTTCAGCTCAGATGTATTGCTAATATAAAAATACACAGGCCTACATAGGATCTCGCAACTTAAAATTTATAACAAATCAACTGAATTGCACTGTTCCATGATTGTGTGTTAAGACTGGACTGGGATAACCCTCAGACTATCCGTTTACATTTTTCTGTTGATATTTAGTGTTTGTGGAGTCATTAAGATAAAAAAAAAACAACCTTTCTTCAGGTCAAGCTTATTGGTGCCCTAGAACCAGAGTTGGATATTTATGGAGTCCAAGCCAAATGTTTGCAAGACAAAGTTTGGATATTACAGGTAGAAACTAAAGAGATAAGAACCAATTGTGTAACATTATATCAATTTTTATTGTTTTGGACTGTAGATAAAATATAATATTATGAAATGCTTAGAGAAAAAAAATATTTTTTCCTGTGTTTTAGTAATGAAAATAAAATGTCAATTTGCACTAGATATGGAAATCAAATTGTAATGTTAATTATATTAATCAGTTTAAGAATTGAATAAATTATTTATTTCCAAAAATAGATTTATGACCAATCTAAAATATTTGTGTGAATTTAACATGACTAATAAAAACGTTTTTACATTTATTTCAGACTTTTGAAGATCTGAGAAACCTGTTAGCAAACAAAAATCTCTCGTAGTTTTTCATCTAAAACTTAAGATGAAAAGGCCATTTGCATTTGATTTTTACATTACACTTCCATTTTATTTTAAACTTCAGACCAAATATATAGTAAATAGGTACATTTTTAAAAACCTATTTTTCCTAATATAGAAAAGGCTGATGTCAGTGATGAAAGGTTGATTGAACTAAAATGACATAAGCCTGTCATTTGAAATGTTTTTTTGTTTTATTGCTTGTACATACAGTAAATCATGTTTTAGCCTTAGCTTATCAAAAGATTTGGTTAATACTGCAATTAATTAAGCTGCTTTAAGTTCTGTTGTTTCAAACTTTTTTTAATGTAGTGATTGAAATTTTTAAACCTGTTTGTATTTTTAAGCTGACTACTTTCTAAGTTACTGTTGTTTCATTTGTTTACTTTGATCATGGACCATTCTTTCATCTCTCTATAGTGTTGATTTGATGTTATGTACAAATAATGAAATGGCAGTGAGGTTATTAATTTTGTTATGTACCAGATTGTCACATGCCAGTTTAAAGACATTGAATCCCCAATCTTCATTTTCTTTTATAAAAAAATTGTCACAGGACTAAGGGATACCACCATTTGTCATTGTTAAGTGGATCTTTATTGTTCAATAAATAAAGTACCTTTTTGTATACTTCTTTTCTTTAAATGTCTTTGTTCTTAAGTTCATATTTGTTATTTTTAGAAGTGAATAGTTAACTGTTGTACAATTGATACACTTCTGCAGTCTTAACTGTATTTTGAGATGTCTGTGATAACACATAAGTATAATTTGATTTGAATACAAAATTCAGTAACATTGTGCATTTTCAAAAGTTGCTAGAGTCTTGTGCCATATTAACTTTCTTGTATTTGGGGGAAATTTTGTAGACTTACCCTGAAAAACATTGAATGTCTGTTGACATCACATGTACCACATGGGTATTTAAGCCTATTCTATATAAAGGTTTTTATCTAGTCTAGAGCAATTCTTGGTTGCTGGAAATTGTACGCTTCACTTATTTGCAGTATATCTAACGAGCCGGCCCGCGGCATAACATACGCCGCTATTAAGTTGTTGTTTTTTCTACTTTTCAGTAATTCATAATTTGTGAATTCGACAGTACCAACGCTGCCACTGAAAATATTTCTTTAAAACACTATAAGTAGCTCGTTAAGGACCGTTACCCCCCCCTACGTTTAAAATAGTTTCAAACTAAATTATCTGCCCCTAATAGTCGTCACTAAACTCGGCTCTGCTCACATTTAGAGTGAACACAGCTCACTAAGACCATGTAGGGGTGGGGTGGTAGGGAGCGCGTTTACAGCTTGTTTTCTAGCGTCTCCCAGAAGAGAATTATATATATAGATAAATTTTTACCTGTTATGTAGCTTACAAACACACCTATTTTGTTTTCCCTAGGATTAAATACAGGGGAGACTACTCATACTATACAAAGTTATCAAGGGGGATAATAGAACAAATGGGAAGTGATCGAATGTTGCTACATTCAATTACTGCACACAAGTTTAGTCACAGAAACATCATGTTGCATCTTTTTATTTTTACTTAAAAAATTTGCTTGTATTCAGCTACAACACCGTATATAATTAATCTCAACACATTCATAAAATATCATAAATAAATGTACGGACAAACTAATAAAATAACAAATCATTCAGGCATGATAGTGGCTGTAGAACATACAAAAAAGAACTGGCAAAAAGAACTCTAATGTAGAGGCTATGCAGCGAGTGTGCTCCTACTATCTTAAGAAAACAGCATGCAGAGTAAGTGAACCATATTTCAGCTAAAATCACAAAATTTTGATATCAATACATAAAGAGCAACAGTAAACAAACAGAAAGCAAGAGAAAATGATTTTATACAATGTATCAATGGGCTGTCCCTTGGACAGAAGTTTACTTTATTATTTGAATTGAGGTTTGACACATTCTAGAAGAATAATGAGGCTTAAAACATTCTTAAAGAATAATGAGGCTATTTAACTAATGCTTTAAATGGAAGTTTTCATGGGCAATTTCTCTTAACAAGTTTCCTAAAGTAGCAATATATATATAACACATTTTAAAACCTTGATGTATAATGAAAAAATGTATAAATTGTCTTAACAGATAATGTCAACTAAGAGACATAGTATTTGTAAGCAGATAGCATTTTGTGGTTTTAAGTGATAGAGCACATTGGATTTATCAAGAAATAGCATTCTACATTTAACTATAGCAGGTGTTTGAAAAAGTTTTTTTTTTTTTTAAAGAAAAACATAACATGCAGTCCTTGCTGAATTTTGTATATTTTAAAATTTATTTTTAATAACTGATGAAACTTTTCTAGTCATAAAGTTGTAGTGTGTAAAAAAAAATTGTAGGTGTTTGGTGATGCTTTGAGCTGAACACATGATGAAAATTGACGTAAAAAGTAGCTCCTGTTTGTTCTACTCAATTCTTCCACAGAAAAACTTTTAAAAATTACAAAAGATCTAAGGTGGACTAACACTTGGTCTATTTTGAAAAAGACAAAAAAAATGGCAGCACAGATCAACTAACAATGAATAGAAATGCTCAGCGTTCAGACATACAGAGTAGCATTAGACCACAGCTACAGAGGGGAAAACTTTTGTGAGGACATGATGATAAGTCTAACCTCATGAGTTATCTTTCTTGGTTAAAACATTGACATTTTTAAGACCAATCAAGTGCTCCATTTTAAAAAATGAATTTCACTGTGGAGAGAACTGAAGAGGGTCACAAAATGCTATTCCAATTAAGCTTTGTTAAAATACCTGTTTAAAAACTGTTTCCATTATAATACTGATGAGCTTTCACCATGCTTGCCAAAAATAAAAAATATCTTAGCACTATATTATAACTGAATTATGAAACTAAAGTTTCAATAAGAGAATGAAGCAAAACAAACACCATTCACACTAGATCTAGTATAATATTCATAAAATACATTCATAGAATATGGTGACATATTTTTGATGATAATAAACATGACTATTTTTATCCAGTCTACTGTAGGTAAAATATTTGAGTTTCAAGACTAACAAGTAACATAAGAAATAATGGATTACATAACACCCAAGCAATGGAATTTTTTTAAGCAGATGGGAGACAAAAACAACTAAGTAATAAATCTTTGATATGATTATTTTTTTTATAGTTACTATCTATTATGTATAAATAAAACAATACATGTACCACAAAATAATCAAGAACAGCAGTTGGGAAATCATTGTACATTTTTAAAAATGGTAGGATATTTTTTATTACCCTGCTATGATTTTGTTTACAATAAAGTGTAAGGAATAAAAAGGAGAATTATTCAGCTATATTAAATAAAAAAGTGTGTAGCTACTTGTTTATGAACAATGCCACAAGTGTTTGATACTGAGATTCTTTTGAATGCATATCATTTTTTTAAACCAAAAACTGTAAAAAGAATTAAATCAAACTTAGCGCAACATATGTCCTTGCACTGAATTTTTTTAAACTGAAGAATTTGAATGCTAAATGTTAAAAAAAAGGGCGATTACTAATCAATAATTACAACATTATGTAGAAACTATATACACTTTAGTGAAACTTTATGTTTAAACTTTTGTCTTAAATTTAAAATAAGAAATTGCTGCAGTGATCAACATATGGAGCATATACAAAGCAGACCTTTTTTTAATTTATATAAAAAATAAACTTTAAAAAATATTACAAATGATACAGTACGTGCAGGTAAAAACAAGTAGAACAAAAAAATATAATTGTTTATTATTTGAAACTACTTGAGGTTAAATAACTAGGAATAAAATGACGATGTGAACCAGACACAACCTCTTAAGGTGCTATTGCACTGTCCCTACAATCATGGCGGGTCACTTAGGAGTTGTAGACACAATCATTACACGCATGCTTTTATAGTCTTTGTATGTACAAGTCAAAATGTTTAAAGCTTTCAGGTGGTTGTTCTCTAGTTTATAAACAAATAAAATCACTGGTAACAAAATCAGGCAATACAAGTGAAGCAGTGTTAACTTTGTAACCTCTAAGTGATATTTAGCAGTAAAAAAACCAAACGATTAGATGACATGAATGCAAGAGCACTGTGCCAATTAAAACTTAGCTGCTATTTCCAGTTTGTACATTTGTTATGTTGATGGGGGCGCTTTAAAACATAAGAGACATAAGAATGATGTTTACTGGTAGATATTCAATGCTGTAGCAGTACTAACTAGTTGCAGCCTCTGTCTCCTTCACATTCTTGTTTAAACAGCTGTCTTATTGGCATGTAAAGATGGGAGCCTATTCAAGTTGGCAATGATCAAAGTAGTTGTCAAAAATGATCATGTCCCAATGGTGGTCTAAATTTATTTTTATAGGAGTCATGGGCGGGTGTGAAGAAGAAATTTAACAGCTTACAGTATGTACCTCTCTCATTAGTTAAAACAAAAAGCTCACCAGTACTTTATTGTAAATTTTGGGGGATGAGAGTGATGTCAACTAACAATTTTAATTCCACTTGGCTCAATGTAGATCACTAACAACAAGTAAAATGAGCTAAAACCTATAGAACTGAACAGTTTGTAGATCACTAACACAAACTAAAACTTGTAGAATTGAATAATTTGTTAGAAAAACAAATGCTAATCACAAGTCATCCACCTAACTGCTACCAATGTAGGCCTGAACACCCTGGAGCACCAACAAATGAATTGGTCAGGGGGAACAGAGTTGTTTCCTACTATAACAACAAATTGTTGACTGTTACCAGGTTTGGACACAAAAACTGTGGGCCACATTAAGTTCAATGTAGTGTTCATTTACAAAATCCCCATCTGCCCACAGTTTAATCTACCAGCATTAGGTGGCTGTCTTCCACAACTTGTAGTTTAAAAACTAACAACTGTAGCAGATGGCTGGATAGAAATGAATAAATGCAAATACTGGTTGTAATGAAGAAAATGATGCTGTACATAGAGCAGACAACACAAACTAGCAGACAGCTTATTCCTACATCAACTAATGCCATGTCTTTCTCACTAGCCTAGATAAATGAGGACACGTTTTTTAAATTACGCACCACTTCAGTAGAACACCTGATAGCTATAAAATATCTTTGAATATAAAATAAAACCACCCTGTCTGTTCAAATAATTGCCATTTGTAATTGAAGTATTTCCTATTCCAGCACTCTCTAGCCCAGACTAGCACATAGAATATCAAGTACAAAACAAGCAGGCAAGCAAGCAGAGAGCTGGGGGTGATTGCACAGAGCAAGGCCCTAGTCTTATGCTGGTTTGTACAAGTCATATCACTGATAAAACAATAACCATTGCCTCACTATTATGACAGACCAAATTTGGCAAAGGCAACTCAATTCATTGGTTTTAAAATACAACTTGATAAAAAAATCTGGAAGAACCAAAAACACAAACTCTTACACTGAAAAATAAAATTAAAAAGCATTTAAGACTATAAAAAACACCATGGTCCTTGTATATTTGAATGTTTTGAAAAGCTCAACTGATACAATTTCTCTCAATCCAGGCATGTACAGACAACTCATCTTTTTTTAAAATAAGTAAAAATTGATAACTTTTTCTTCACTAGTCACAGTTAAAACTTGAATGTTTTATAATAAAAAATGTCTAAAAGCTATCACACACAGACGGTCCACATCTTGACGAGGTATTCACGGATAAAGATATCGCAAATCAAACAATGGGAACAAAAAGTGATCACATGCAGTGACATTGCACTTGTTCACAAGAGAAACAGGAGGGGGTTTAAACAAAGCAAATCAAACAATCACAATGGTTTGGTAGGACAGTTTTGTACAGATAAATAATTTCATGTCAATCCTAAACACAATGTCAAAACTGTGGGGCGGCTACAACACACAGGTAGAAGAAAGAGTTGCTAATGTGACAAGGTGAGATGAATCAGAGGATGACATTGATGAACTAAGATCTGAGAAACAGGAGGAGTTAAGCCCACTCAAAGATTATGCCATGCTTGCAACTGGTCCCCTTGTAGTGAGAGAGAACCTGACAGAGGGCAGTACATAATATTCCAATAGGTTTGGCAAACAAGTGACATCCCTGATCCACGTGTTCAACAGTGCCTCTCATTTGACGCTGGCTTCCTACTGTCCACCAGCGTGGCCCCAGGGGGTGGCATGTTGGCTGCAGGGCTGGTGCCTACAGGAGATGATGTTGCAGCCGTGGCAGTCACTGTGGAAGCTGACGCAGCCGCGGCCGCTACAGCTGCTGCTGCGTTGGCTAGGGCTGTGTGTCTGCGCAAGTGTTGAGGGGATGACTGGGCGTATGTGTCTGGGGGGCTGGGCACAGCTCCGGCAGCTGTAGCCTCTCCTTCCTCCCCACTCTTGCTGTCCTTGTTGCGGAACTTCTTGCGCCAGGATGGAGCTCTGCGGAATTTTCCACCCTCACCCTGAAAACAAGATAAACAATATGGTTAGTTTGTTTTAAAAGGAGGAAAACTTGTGACATCAAATTCAGGTTTTAACAGCAATAAGTTGATCACATTTCAGAGCTATTAGATGAAATTATCAAACTATGACATAAAGCCACAATTAACCTGTGACAACACTGATATATTTTTTAATATATTTTAATTTTCAAGATTATTTTTTAGTTTTCTATATTATTGTTATTTGTTCTAGAATATCAGCATTAGTAATCTTGTTAATATGCAATATTTTTTTTAATAAAAAAAATAATCTTGTAATATTATTCTACAATTACATAGAATACCTTTTAAGGAAAGTTTATCTCTTGAATAACATAAATTTAACAAATAGGAAAATAATGTAAAGAAAATATTAATGAATACATCATTAAAAAAATTGTTCCTTATTCTTCTATCAAAATGGTATCAACATGGCTAATACATTTTTAGTATCAAGTTAGAATATCCAATGAGAAGCTCAAGCAAAGATTTAGCATGCAAAACATCCAAGCAAGTTAGTTTAACAAAAGCTTAACCACAGACATGCAGTCTCCAAACAGCTGAAGGTTTTTTTTCTCTTATATTAAAGTGGTGGTGATATTTGAAAACAGGGTTGGTTCAACCTGATGTCAAAACTAAAAAGGCAATTGTGTGCAGAGAGTATGGTGTTGGTACATGTCCTTGACACAAGCCAACACCTTCAACACACAACAGAGGTGGATGGCAAATTAGAGTGAGTTCTACACTTTCTATATGATCAAGTAGGAAAGCAATGTACACCAAATGATAGGCACCACATTATAATGATTCTATGTTTTCTGTTGACAGATGTTTGAAGGGACCATCTGTCATGGCATTGAGCCACACACCACTTCAGGATACAACAGTACAGTAACTTAGGCCAGTAAAGCACGAAGTCAGATGTGTTTTCTACCTTTTCAAAAAATCTTTTGGTCCAAATTGTTTTTTGTTTAAAAACTATTTTAGATGCTGAATCTGGATTCTCATTAACAGAATTGTTAAAATAATGGAATCATTGAGTTCAATGTTTGAAAAGCTGAGGTGCAGTGTAAAGACCAATCAACGAACAAAAGAATTTAATGGTATATTTTATGTTTGCTTTCTATAGAAGAAAATTTAATGTCAGTAAACTTTGTTGAAATAGAATTATTGCTTAAAATAGAACTTGATTGTGAAAGGAAAAGTTTGGACTAAAATGAGAATGTTGATACTGTAAACTTCTGGGAGGACAGAACTTAAAAGTGGTGCTGTTTGTTTCCTAGTTGACACCAAAATACTCAACATGATAAAACATCTTTAAATACTGAATACACTGCTCCAAGGGCCACAACCAGTGAGAGAGAAGGACTCTCAATGAGGAGCTTAAAAATATTCAAATGGTAACACTGAAAACTCCAGATGGAACAGACAATATTACAAACAGCTTGAATGAAGGTTGCAACAGAATGAATGAGTCAACCATGCCCACATACACAACCCACAGATACAGACAAACAGACAGCACACGTGGATGAAATCTCTACTCTAGCAAATCTTCTCAGTCAGTTGGTAGGAAAGGTGGGGTGCTGCAGCCTAAAAGCAATCAGCTCATGGCTCCAGGTGTGCACGTCTCGGCAGTTAGTGCAATAGAATATCAAATACTGAGCCAATAAAAACCTTCAAATTAAAAGCTCAAATATGCTAGTTATAATCTTGAATTGAAAAATAAAAAGTGTTAAAATTCTGGTAATAAATGGATAAAGAAGTCCAAATCTAGAGTAAGGATTGTCAAACATCTAGTAACAATAGCAGAGGGCAATCTCTCAGAATGTGGGGTGGTGAGAGATGGGCAGAATGTTCAATTACCTTTAGCTGTTCTCATCTGCGTTTGTTTTTTGCCTGGAGTGCAAAATAAATGTTACATAAATAAAAAGATAAATAAACAAAAACATGCACAGGAAAAAGTAGAAGCAGTAAGCCTGGAAATTTGGTTACAATTTAGTTTTTTTTTTACCATTAGAGTTTTAGTATGTGGAAATATTTTATTCTATGATCTCTTTATTAAAATTCAATTTACTTTAATAGTTCATCTTTCAGTGAATGATTCATAAAATAGTAGATAATACAAAGTAGTTAAAATAAGATGAAATTTAAAGTAGAAATCAATGAAACGTTTTGAACTTTGCCCTGTGCATGACTTCAGTAAATCTAACTAAAACAAAATGAGCAGAAAAAATGGGTGACCAAACAGTTTATCAACTAAAAACATTTTAAAAATCAGCATAATGGATACCAAAGAAAATGTGAAGAAAGCAAAGAATGAACAGGAAGATGTACAGAGATACCAAGCTAATTATAAAGAGCACATACAGACCAGGGTAGGAGACAAAGGAAAGCTTATGATAAGTTCAATGTATACAAGCAACACAACAAATGACCAGTCATGGCAAAATACGCTGAAATCTCAGCTTTATGAAAAACATTCATACGTACAGTCAGTTTATAATCATAACATATAAATACAAAAATGTAACTTTTCTTGTTGTCCTGGTGGTATAACCAATTTCTTGGCATGCACACTTTATTAAAAGAAAGAGTTTTTACACAAAACATTGACACACAAACCATGCAGACAGTAGAAGAATAAATAAATAATTTATCAATAGTAAACTTGGTCAGTCAATAATGTCTAAACATAGATCCCTTATTAGAAACAGTAAATGAAACAATGCAATACATGATTATATATATATATATATATATATATATATATATATATGTAACGAGACTTATCCTGCTCGCAGAGCCAAATGTAACGAGTCCCCGAGTCTATCCTGCCGACAACGCCAAATGTAACGAGTCTCTGGCTACCCTGCCGACAACGCCAAATGTGACCTTCCCGAGTCTAACCACTCATTCCACACAACATTGACCACAGCATAGATACTCGAAGATGCAGGTTCATTATTGATCCTTTTATTACATGAATCAAAGAATGCTTCACAATAATATAATGAATCAAGAGAGATGTTTCACAATAATAGTCTGAATCAACGGACCCCCAACAGTCCTCACTAGGCTTCATCTAACTGAATACACATGTCTAACGTCCTTCTTAACACAATATAACCAACTTGATACTGCCTGACCGAGAGAGAGAGACTGACGGACTGACTGACAGACCTTCTGAGACCGACTTTCTGAGAGACTGACTTTCTGAGAGACTGACTGAGAGAGACTTCGAGCTCAGCCGTCGCCTTCCTTATATCCCCTTCATAATCGTACTCATATTCGGTCCTATCATAATCGTAATTGTAATCGATTCTAATCGTTACATCAGACTGTTAATTACGCCGCTTCTGTCGTACAGTCCGATTTTAATAAGCCACCTGCATCCTGTCACATCAAAGTTGACAGACCGTCCCTCGTATCGCTTCCCGAGATACTACGCCTTGGCATCAGCCAACACCTGCACTGTGACGTCAGACTGTAACACGTTATGTCTCTTGGTAACTTCCCCTAGTTACATCCACCCCTGCCTTTTTTTGTGTGTTATCAACCACAAACAACGCTTGGCAGGTGCAGTCCTTCAAAGTCCATCGCACCACCGTAAAAAAAAATCCATTGTTCCACTCACTGTCAATGTCGTCACATTCGTATAAGATTGACAGTTATCCCTATTTCACATATCCAATGTGTCTACATCATCTTCCTCAGACACAAAACAGTTCTAGAATTCACATCCACCTTTTTTCGTTTGGTGCCTTCACCAGTTCACTTTTATGACTTTTTGAACAGTCTGTTTTCATACCAGCGCGACCATGAAAGAATTGATGGTTGCTGACAAAAAATTTCGTATTCTTTCTGTTTCTCAAACTTCTCCGCGGACCACTTATCTGATGGTCTACTGTCTCTCTGCTTTTGGAGGGACCGGGATCCTCCTTGTTGCCGGTATCCTCCCCTTGTGTGTCGCTGTTGTTCTGTTGATGGTGACATGGTTCCGGGATGGGTATGAGAATTTCCGTTATAGTTTCCGGTTCCCTAATTGTCTTGGGTTTCCTTGTGTGTAACTGCTCTTCTTGACTATGACAATATTTCTTTAATTGAGCAATATTCGCCCACCGATCCGGTTTGGTGTGATCGATGGGTCTTATCTTAAAGGGGCCACCTGCTACTTTAGGCATCTCCACGACTTGCCATATCTCCTGTCCCCAGAGATCGTGGATTTTGTTTCTGCCTAATGGGTGGCTACGCAGTAATACCCTGTCGTTCAGTTTGAGTGGCGGGTCCTTTGTCTGTACCGGCGGTTCCCTTCGCCGTGCTTCATGTTCTAGTCTTTCCTGTACTACCCTGTACATTTCTCTAATTCGTCTCATATGTTCATTCACATATTCCAGTGCAGTGTATGAGCCAGTCATACTCTCCTTTTTTCCTAGGAACAAGTCAAGGGGGAGTCGAGCTTCCCGTCCGAACAGCAACATGTATGGCGAAAAGCCGGTTGTGGCATGGGGTGTGCAGTTGTATAGATATACCAACTCTGGGAGAAAATCAGGCCAACGTTTTTTCTGTTCAGGTTCTAGAGTACGCAGCAAATCATGCATGCTGCGGTTGAACCGCTCGCACTGTCCGTTTCCTTTCGGATTAAATGTGGTTGTTCTAGATTTGTTGATCCCGTAGTGGCTGCACAGTTGGTTAATTACTTCTGACTCGAAGGCCCTTCCTTGGTCAGAGTGTAATTGTCTTGGTATGCCATATTTGATGAACCAATGTTCTATTAAGACCTTTGCCACTGTTTTGGCAGTCTGATCTCGTGTGGGCACCGCCACAGTCCATTTGGTGAAAACATCAGTCATTACCAACACATGTTCCGTCCCATCCGATGATTGCTCCAACGACGTAAAGTCCATAGCCACAATCTCTAGTGGTTTTGTCGCTAATAGGTGTCCCGATGGCTGTCTCATTTTGACAACTGGCATTTTCGC